ATATATATATATATATATATATATATATATATATATATATATATATATATATATATATATATATTTAACTGAAAATGGATGGCCCAAGAGGATTTAATTCCAAGTACCCAGCCAATTCTAATCAGAGTCATGTAGCCTTTGTGGACACTAGCCAATCCTTAATCCAGGACACATAGCTGAGGGCTCTGGTGTCTACTAGCATACCATCCTAGACAGTCCTAATCTATTCTGATTGGGCCTGGTTGGTATTTGAATAAGATAGAGCAGATTTAGTGTCTGTTTGGCTAATCTGACGCCATGACAGGCTTCTTTTCTCCACGTTGTCTGACTAGGCCTGAGTGTCTGTTCCTCGGAGTTCAGACAAAGACTTCCTGAAAAGGCCACAACCTGAGGACAACCAATCAGCTTACAGGTCAAGCTGACCAAAAGCCATGTTTATGTATACATGGCCTTGCTGTTCCCAAAGTAAACGCAGCCGGCCCTAACCAATCCAATTAAAGGTCCCCAGTAACTAGGGGAAATCCCTAAACAATTGGCCAATCATGAATGCCATCGTATCCCTATATCATTCCTGACCAATTAGTTTAAGAGTTACCACGCAAAGCCCCTAACTGTCTATAAAAAGAGCCTGTGTGTTCACTTCTATGTTGCCCTTTTGAAAAGAGTGACGATCCCAGCATGCTGGATACTTCTGCAGAATAACTGCTCTTTGCTTTTGCACCTGAGTCTGGGGTCTTTCTTCAGTGATTCTCGGACCCTAACAGGCCTTCTAAATTTACCAGTTTGCTGTCTTTCCTGGAAGTATTTTGTGAGGAGCTATCTCTTAGCTCTAACCTTTTAGTGGTGGTTGTATTGGTCCTTAGCTGCTTAAATCAATGAATATTCCAAATCAAAAGCTGGAAGGAAGAATATTTCAGTTGGGAGTACAAATAATTCTGGACCTTTATTTAGTTCCATAGCAATATCACTTTGTTGGGGCATTGGGTTGTGCTTTTTAAATATACTCAACACAACACTCTCAGGCACCGTGCTGTCAACTTCAGGTCCACTTGTCACCAACCAGAGTCATTTGGGAAGAATGAACTTCAGTTGACAAAATGTCCCCACCAGGTCAGCCTGTGGGTAGGCCCATGGTGTGTTTTCTTAACTGATGATTGCTATTAAAAGGCAGGCTGAGCAAGCCATGAGGAGCAAGCCAGCATGCAGCACCCCTCCATGGCCTCTGCATCAGCTCCTGCCTCCGGGTTCCTGCCCTGTTTGAGTTCCAGCCATGACTGCCCTCACTGATGGACTGTGATGTGGAAGTGTGAGCTGAAATAAACCCTTTTTCTCCCCAAGTTCTTTTTGGTCATAGTGTTTTATCACAGCAATAGAAATCCCAAGACAATTGATTTCTCCAATAAATATTCAAGAGATAGCAAAGAACTAAACTTTTTATGATTCTATTATGCACAATAGAATCATAACATATCGTTTGTTTGTTTGTTTTCTGAGACAAGGCCTAACTACATAACCTTGGCTGCCCTGGAACCCTCTATGTAGACCAGGTTGGCCCTGAACTCATATTCACCTGCCTCTGCCTCCCAAATGCTTGGCTTAAAGGCATTTGCCACCATGCAAAGTTTATTCCTAAAAACCCTCAGTCTTATTCTTGGGGAAAAACCCAGCTTCTTGCCACTTAGATCAACTTGCCTTAGATGATATGGATTCCTGTTCTAGTTCACACTACGATTCTATCACTTAGATTTCGTAGTTCATAGCCCAATATGTACCTCAATTTATCTTACATAACTCATGCTCAAACCATGCTCATTAACTCAAGAGTTTAAAATTGGTCACTCAGATCAAATAAAAAAAGATAACCGAGCATACTCCTTTGATGAACTTCGAGCTAATTTAAACATTGCCACAGAGTACTAGCTAGATATTGACCTTCGGCCGCTGGCTGGCTGTACACAGGTGATTCTGTGTTGTCGGGCAGAGGCTATTGGTCTTCTTTGTGACGTTAGAAGCCTGCTCCTCTCACATTTTCTTAGCTGCAGCCCACCAGCTTCAACCAGGAAACCTCCAAACAGAGCGCTATGCTGTTTGGACTTGGTCTAGCAAGCAAAGGCAGAACAGAGATGAGGGATGGCCTTGCTAATTGTCTTGCTTTGCCAAGAAGCACCTCAGATAAGCCTCTGCACACAGGCTGTTGGGAAAGCTACAAAATTGAGAAAGTCAGCTGGCTGCTCCAGACGAAGGACACAGAGCGCTAAAGGGCCCTGGGAATGTGCTCCAGCGTTCAATGAACAGCAAGAACGCCACTCTGGCTAAGACTTATTAAAAAGGCGAATCCTCAAGAAGCACATCCAGCAGCCAGGACATATGGGCCCTAAAGAGGATGGTGTGGGCATTGAACTCTATTCTCAGTGTGACAGGAACCTGCTGGAGAGTTCTGAGTGCGGGACTAATAAACGTCAGCGTACATTCTGAAAATATCAGCGACAGCTAGGTGAACAGGAAAGAGTAAAACTTTGCAGTCAGGAAAAAGAAACCAACCAACCCAGTTATTTCATGCAGGAGGGATTTCAGGAGTAGAAACCATCAGAAGGAAGAATGGGGTGGTGTCAAGTCAAAAATGGCTCAACAGATTCTCAGCCGGAATGCATGGCAGTAGTGCCCATTCTTGTCCATTTGGAGATACTGTGACATCCTCTGTCTACTGGAGGAGCCATCTTGTCCAAGAAATCTTGAGGCAGGAATATACATTATCACTTCTTCCACCATAGAAATGCCAGCATGTGCCACACTATGCATCCACGGAGAAACGGAAATTTTGATTCTCCTGGTCCTTCTTCCTTCCTTCTGTCAGAACGTCCAGGAAGGCCAAAGAGGGAGGAGAACCTACTATGGTCCCCTGAAGTTCAGTAGATGAAGCGACAAGTGTAGAACTAAGAAGTGACAGATAAATAATTTCCAACCAATCAAGCAGGGAGCCTATTAGGATGCTATATATAGTAGATCTCTATCATAGCTTGAACATTTAATTATTGGATTCAACATATATTCTCTCAAGATAAGGTCAAAGAGTCAGAGAACACTGAAGGAAGTTTGCACTGTTTGGTGAAGAATAGCTCAAAAGTTCTAATGAAATTAACTATAAGGTGTCCATTCTAAGTCTAGAGACTGGCATCTCGTTAAATGTGTCTTTGGGAGTCAAGAGGAAAGGTTGGGGTCTCAGTCCTAGACAAAAATTGAACACTTAATAGGCCAGAAAAGGGAGAAAACCCAGAGAAGGAAAACTTAGTGAAAGCAAGGGAGGGAAACGGAAAATACTATTCCCAGAGGAAAGATGGAAAGGACAATTCTGAGTGACCACTGCTGAGCAGCCCAATAGGTCCAAATGTTCACCATTGCTAATCATACTGGAGAGGAAATTTGGGGAAACCTGGGTGTTGTGGGTTCTCTCTCTGGGGCAGTTCTGCCAGACGGGAGAACATAAAAATTGAGTGCTAGACTACAGAAAAGATTAAACACCAGCTAGGGCGAACACAACGTGACTTGACCTCTGAGGCTAAGGCGCTGCAGGCGAAGGGAGGCCACTTCCGCCCTGGCGGGCCTTCCGTCCCGCCGCCGGGCCTCAGTTCCTCCTCCTAGACCACGCTCTGCCCTTTCTGAAGCCAGAGTGACTCTTCCACATCTCCCCGGGCCAAAAGGCACACCCCAACACCAGCTGCCCCGGGACAGCATTTCAGAAGCTCTGAAAACGATCGGGGGCGTGGCCTTGCAGTCACGTGCGGCGTTCCGGCCAATGGGTGCGCACTGCGTCCTCAGCCGCGCAGCGTGGGGGGGGCCCGGGGGCGGGGTCTGGACCAGTCGGCGGGTGGGACCTGGGAACGGAAGTTAGCCGAGAGCCGTGGTGTCAGCCGGAGCAGAGCAACGCCGGGACGGTGCTGCCACACCTGCTCCGCTCCGCGTTCTCCTCAGGCCCCGCCATGGAGCGCCACGTCCAGCGGCTTCGCCAGGCGTTCCGGTCCGGCCGATCGCGACCGCTGCGCTTCCGACTGCAGCAGCTCGAGGCCCTGCGGAGGATGGTGCAGGAGCGCGAGAAGGACATCTTGGCAGCCATCGCGGCGGACCTGAGCAAGGTGAGCGTCCACGGGGTGGGAGGGGCCCGGTGCGCCCTCTTATTTCTGCTCTATAGCAGGTTGTTTGGTTCTGTTTATCCGGCAATAAAGAGGAAGCTGTTACTCGGGACTCCGGACTCCCTAGCCCTGCTCAGAGTCCAAACGGCTGTATTTACACTCACATGGAAGTACATGCTTTACCTGGAGCCCGCAGTTTCTCTTCTGTGAATGCTCTTTATAGTCTTGTCCAGTTCTACTGCATTTATGGTCTCTTTCCATACAATGTGCTTTTCACTCTTTGGATAGTCAGTAGTTTGTCCGCTTGGGAGATTTCAGATTATTTCACTCCCTGTCTTATTTCATAGCTACTTTTTTTAATGGTTTATTTTTGTAGACAGAGTTGTTATTTTAATAATCTTCAACACTCAAATTTCCTTTATGACTTTGTGTATCACTAATCATATCCTTGAACTCTAGTACACTGACAGTCACCCCGGGGACCTGTTCAAATACAAGTCTTGATTCAGTCCGTCTGAGACTGTCTGAGAGTTCTAATGAGGTCCCAGGTGATACCCTATGGCCTCTTTAGAAGCAAGCTTTGAATACTAAGGTTTTAAGTAGTGTTTGAGGTATAATTATATCCTCCTGTACTCTCCAGTAATATTGGTTTTCCTTTTTAATTTCTGTCTGTATTCCAGACATAGGGAGACCTTTATTTTCAGATTTGCAATCCTCCCTTCCCAATCAAAGACTCCTTCAAAAAGTGCTAACAGTAGTTGTAGCAGAGGCTACAAACCTTCCCTCAGAGTACTTTTGGTAAAGAGGGGCTATAATAGTTAGTAAACAAGCCAGGATAATGAATATTAAAACCCCATGAGTCATCTATTTTTCAAGCATAAGATATTTTGTGTATGCTTGTACATACATAGGGTTCCTGAAAAAAATTATAGCAAGTCCATAATTTTAAATCTGGCTGAAAAATAGAACATATGCAGATAAAAAATGTGAATATGGGGCTGGAGAGATGGCTCAGAGGTTAAGAGCACTGGCTGCTCTTCCAGAGGTTCTGAGTTCAATTCCCAGCCACCACATGGTGGCTCACAACCGTCTATAATGAATCTGTTGCCCTCTTCTGGCATGCAGGTGTACATGCAAAACACAACATTGTATACATAATAAATAAATAAATCTTTAAAAAATGTGAATATGGTTATAAAGCAGTATGTTAAGGGTGAAGTAATTACATACAGCTCAAGAGCAAAGTTGCCTTGGTATTGAAATTATGACTGAGGCAGGCTATTATTAACTAGAGAAGTTGCTGAAAGAGATCATTTTTAACCCTAATTTTAAAAGGCTTGGGTAGGTAGTGAAGAATTTAGAGGCACTGACTATATTAGAGAAGAAGAGCCAATGTGAGCATCCAGGGTGTGCCTTATTGAGAACTTGATAGTGAGGTTAAAAAAAAATATGATAGCAGACAGGGGTTTGGGGGATGACTCACAATGCCAGGTGTCAGTGCGGGCGTACTTGGGCGGAGCTTTGTGACATCCTAAGTCAGTGGTTCTCAGCCTTCCTAATGTTGCCACCCTTAATACAGAGCCTCATGTTGTGGCATAACATTATTTTTATTTCTACTTCATAACTGTGATTTGGCTACTATTGTGAATCATAATGTAAATGCAGGCCCCCATGGGGGTCCTGACCCACAGGTTGAGAACCACTGTCCTAAGCAAGGTATATTATACCCTTTGTGTGTGATTAACTGACTTCCTTTCCCAGAGTGAACTCAATGCATTCAGTCATGAAGTCATTACCATCCTTGGGGAACTTGATTTTATGCTGGGGAGTCTTCCTGAACTGGCTGCTGCTAGACCAGCTAAGAAGAACCTGCTTACCATGCTGGATGAGGCCTATGTTCAGCCAGAGCCTCTGGGAGTCGTACTGATTATCGGAGCTTGGAACTATCCTTTCGTTCTTACCATGCAGCCGCTGGTGGGAGCCATCGCCGCAGGTCTGGTGCCCGCTGATGCCTTTGTTCCTTTGTAGAGGGTCACAGTGGTTGGGAATTAAGGGCAGTGACTAGTTAAATACATTTACTTGAGTGGTTTGCCTTGGTTGACGCCAGCAGTTTAATGAGAATCTATAGGTGTACCTGTATTTATGAGTGCTGCTGAGAAGTTGAAGTTTTACATGGCTGCTCAAGTACCTAGGGGGTGAATCTGTGAGAGCCAAAGGCATCTGAGTCACTAGTCCCAAGATTTCAGAGTCAGGCATCCGTATTCTAATGGGGTTTTAGTTGCCAGCTCTGCCTTTCCACAAACCATTTGATTTCGTCTGACCAGTTTCTTTATTCAAATAAAGGTGTTGGGCGTAATGCTGCCTAAGTGTACAGCAGATCCCAGCAGATTGATTTCTTACTTGGAAGCTCCAGATCAACAGCTTACGTTGACTAGCCTGTTTGCTCAGCGAGCGTAGGGCAGAGAGGAAACACCAAGAGCAGAACTGCGAAAAAGAGAGAAACCTGTGGAAGTGTGAGAGGCTGGGCGAGCTTGTCAGGTGCCCTGGAGATGCTGAGAACTAACGGGTTAGCACTTGGGAAGGACAACACAGAGAGAGAGAGGACGTTAGATATGAGATAGGACAGATTTAAGAGCTGCAAAATAAATGAAACGTAGCCTGTACCCCTACATGAGTGTCTCTTTGGGGAGGCAGAGTCAGGCAGATCTCTGTGAGTTTGAGGCTAGCTTGGTCTACAAAGTGAGCCCAGGACAGTGCTGAGGCTACACAGAGAAACCCTGTCTCAGAAAACAAAAACAAGCAAGCAAACAAATGAAAAGTTACTCAAGTATTGGATGATATTTTTCTGCTCTTCACTTTATTTAGGAAATGCTGCCATTGTTAAGCCTTCAGAAGTAAGTGAAAACACCGCCAAGCTCTTGGCTCAACTCCTCCCACAGTATTTAGACCAGGTAAGAATACCTTGAGCCTCTTTAACACATCTGTGTATGGTAGAAAATACAGACTTGGGGCTGGAGAGATGGGTCAAAGGTTAAGAGCCCTGGCTGTTCTTCCCAAGGAAGGTACTGAGTTCAATTCCCAGCAACCACATGGTGGCTCATAACCATCTATAATGAGAACCGGTGCCCTCTTCTGGCCTGTAGGCACACATGCAGACAGAATACTGTATAAATAATAAAGAAATCTTAAAAAAAATGTTTAGGGCTGGAGAGATGGCTCAGTGGTTAAGAGCACTGTCTGCTCTTCCAAAGGACCTGGGTTCAATTTCCAAGCACCCACATGGCAGCTTGCAACTATCTGTAACTCTAGTTCCAAGTGTCTGACACCCTCACACCAATGCACATAAAATAAATTTAAATAAAAAAAGAGTTAATCCTTTATCTAACAGGAACACAAACAGGCATAAAAACAAACAAAAAAAAAACCACAACGAAACATTAAAAAAAAAAAAAAAGAAAAGAAAAGAAAAGAAAAGAAAACACAGACTTGCTCCTTCTCCCAGGGTATCATTGCTGGCTAGGGGTTGATGTGGCTTCCTTGAGTCTCCAACAGTTTGTTTAACAAAGAAGCCAGGTTCCAAACACACTATAGAATGACTTGTGCTTACGCAGTGTATTTTGGCCCGTGGCTTTATCCATATCTCTTATCTCTGCTATTTGGCACTTGAGAGGGTACAATTTTAGACATCATTCATGTAGTGAAATAGTTAATGAGAAGCTAGCATGTTTTTATCACCATCTTTTTTTCCTAACAGAACAGCATCATGTATTAGTCCGTGAGTACTTCTGCTTTTTAGAGGCTTGTCTGTGGCCTGGAAGAAAGTGCCTTCCTGAGTCAGCACTCTAACCTAGTATGCAGGCCCTGAGAACATTAAAGGCTGGCTAGCGAGAGTGGTACCCCAGCTTTGGGGTAGGGATCAAATTCAGATATTCTCATGTTCTCTGGAGAGGAAGTTGGTTTCTTCATCCCTCCTGCGTTCCATGTGCAGTTTTTCAGGGGAGATGATTCATTTAGCTTTCATCGAAAGGCAACTTTAAGACATTTCTGTTAGGCTTTTTAAGTTGGAATTTCCCTGAGACCGACTCTGGCTCCTAGGAATTTTGTTCTCTTTATTGCCTTACACTGTTTTCATAGCTTGCAGAACAGTATGGTTCTGTAGCTTGGTTATCCAGTCTAGAAGGATGACATGGAAGATAGTGAGGTGTAATGGACCGAGTAAGTCTTGGAACCAGAAGATAGAGGGTAAGGTCCAGAGGGCAAGGATGATAATGTGCCTGCTCCAGTTGGCTGGTGGGTCAGCTTACCTAAGGATTCAGGCACAGAAAAATTAAAACTTCAAGCACTTTAGTCAGTTGAACTCTAAAGTGATTAAGAGCAAGAGATCAACAGAGAACTGGAGGTAGACAGTGAGCTTATCCGTCCTCCAACTTAGATGCTTTCATAATCCTCCTGTTGTCCTTGCCATTTGTTCTCAGTCATTCCTTTTTATCCATGCTGTTACTGTTCAAAGTATTTTCTTTCAGAGTAGCTGCCTAACAGTAGCATAGTGCATGTAATGGGTATTGTAGAAATGTTATGTGACTTTTCTCAGTAAGTTCAGAGATTGCATGAGGTTCAGTAGCTTGCCCAAAGTCACAGATGCTCATGAGTGACAGAGCCTAGATTCAATCCAGAGCTACTTCAAGTGGCTCAGCTGCGATGCTGTGTCCTGTTCGTTCAGCAGATACGGACCTATTTACGTTGGCTTAGTCCTGCTTACCTTGTACTGTGTTGAGAGCAGGGCTGGAGCTGTGTCAGGAGGAGGTCTGCTGGCCTGATGTGGACAAGGCTCTACTTGGCTCCCCAGCCCCAGCACTGTGTACAACAAAATGAAACAGCAACAAGATCTCTCACAGTCTCCTCCCCTCGTCTTACACATTTCTCCTGTCCAATCATTTCGCTCTTGTTTGTGCTTTCATGGCCAGGCTAATGGAGAAAATATCAGACTCCCTGTCTTGTGTAGGTGGGTGGTTCCAAGCACCAGCAGATACTTTGCCCTTCCTTTGTCAGGAGATGATTTTGATCTTTTGGTTTTGCTGAGTGCTGCTTATTTGTGCTGAAAGAGAAAGAATTACTGACGTGAGGCAACAAGATTAATTTGACAAAGCAAGAATCTGTTTCTCTTTCTTTGAGGACCTGTATGCGGTTGTTAATGGTGGTGTTGCGGAAACCACAGAGCTTCTGAAGCAGCGGTTTGATCACATTCTCTACACAGGAAATACTGCAGTTGGGAAAATTGTCATGGAAGCTGCTGCCAAGCACCTGACCCCTGTAACCCTGGAGCTCGGGGGGAAAAGCCCATGTTACATCGACAGAGACTGTGACCTGGACATTGCCTGCAGGTGAGGCTGGCTCTGTTCCTGAGGTTTGCCTGGCAGGTGGACGTTTCTCTAATGGCTTGTTTTTCTTTACACTTGGCTTATGGCTTCAAGGTCCATCTGGCTGTAGCTGTTGGTGTGCTCAGGAGACACCAGAGCCTCTAAACTACTTCTGATGCTCCTGGTGGCATAGGGAGCCACGCCTAGGTTCTGCCAGCATGTCATTTTCCTTAGGAAGTTTGGAAATACCCTTATGGATAAACCTGGCAAGCAGTTTTGCCCAGGGTTGCTTTTTTTTTTTTTTTGCCAGTGTTGGGATAGAATCTAGAGCTTCATTATGGCAAGCCTGTGCTGCACAACAAGCTACACCCTGAGCCTCTGGCAAGAAATACCAGTGTTCTGCTGGTTGATGAAACAGACATCCCAAAGGCTTGTGCGCATTAATAAGCATTTAAGTTCTCAGAGGGAAGGGTGTTGCGTGCACTTGTCAGCTGAGCGCCTCTGCTGACAAAACAGGACGGCAGGCGTTTCACATAGCGTTTTGCAGCGGGGAACCAGGGATTAAGAGTTGGGTTTGTCTTTACTGAGTTAGGTCTGACTGCCAGGAAGTGACTGCCGCTGTGCTGTAGGTAAAATGGTTCTCTCTCCCCTTCAGAGCTGTGGCCCTGGGGGGGGGGGGGCGGGGGGGCGTTGGGTCAGGGTTGCTGCTTGGCCTCTTTAAAGAGAGCGTAACTCCCAGAATAAGAGACCAGTGGCGACTGCTAAGGCTGCAGGCACTGTCTGCAGGAAAGGGAAGGGTCTACGTGGATGAGCGTGGGAGAGGAAGCTGGCTGGACTCCCGTGATACCTGCACAGCTCACCAGCAGTCCTACAGCCGCCGGGGAGAGCCACAACCTCATCTGTGTGCCCTCACCCAGAATGGCCCTTTGGCTGGATGAGAAAAGGACTGTTGGGAGGCTGTTCTCTTTTTCTGTTGGCTGTGTCTTCACAGCTTGTTAGATACTTTTTGAGACAGGGTTTCTCTGTGTAGCCTTGGCTGTCCTGGACTCACTTTGTAGACCAGGCTGGCTTTGAACTCACAGAGATCTGCCTGCTTCTGCCTCCCTGAGTGTTGGGATTATAGGAGTATGCTACAACACCCAGATGAGAATTTTATTGCTACTTAGAGTATTTTACCTCAGTTGAAAGTGCGTTCTAAAGGCTAGTGAGATGGTTCCGTGGGTTAAATCACGTGATGTGGAAACCTGACAGTCTGAGTCTGGTACCTGGAACCCATGTTTTAAAAAAGCCAGATTCTGAGTAGATGGGAGGCTTCAGGTAAGCAGCAAGCACAGCAGAAACAGGAAAGACCCTGCCTCAGCAAGGCAGAAGGAGAGAACCAACTCCTAAACGTTGTCGTCTGGCCTACACACACACACACACACACACGCACGCACGCACGCACGCACACACACACACACACACACACACACACACACACTTGAAAACAAATCTAGGGGCTGGAGAGATGGCTCAGAGGTTAAGAGCACTGATTGCTCTTCCAGAGGTCCTGAGTTCAATTCCCAGCAACCACATGGTGGCTCACAACCATCTATACTGAGATCTGGTTGCCCTCTTCTGGTGTTCAGGTGTACATGCAGACTGAACATTGTATACATAATAAAATAAATCTAAAAAAAAAAAAAAGAACTTAAAACAAAACACAAAAATAAAAAAGAAAAAGAAAACAAATCTAAGTACGCATTAATCTTGATCATCAACTTAATGTCATTTAGAATCAGCATGAGAACACATCTCTGGGCATGTCTGAGAAGGAGCGTCTACATTAGGCTAAGTGAGGCAGGAAGAGCCACCCTAAGTCTGGGGTTCTGAGTGAAAAAAAAAGAGTTAAACTGAGTGGAAGTACTGGCTTCTCTCTCCTTCCTGGCTGTGGGTGCCATGTGACCAGCAACACCAAGCTCCAGCTACCATGACTTCCTCCTTTCTATGATGTCTGTCGTACCCTTCAACTGTGAGCCAAACCAGCTCTTCCTTTCTTAAGTTGCTTTTGTCAGATGTGTTGTCACAGTAATGTGTAAAGTAACTAATATACTGGAAAACAAAAATTGAAAAGGTGACTGAATTGTATAGATATTTTGGTTTTCGTTTTGTTTTTTTTTTCTCCTCAGACGCATAACCTGGGGAAAGTATATGAACTGTGGTCAAACCTGTATTGCTCCTGACTATATTCTGTGTGAAGCCTCCCTCCAGGATCAAATCGTACAGAAGGTTAAGGACACGGTGAAGGTCTGTGTTCAGCCATTCTGATCTCACTGTATCAGTAAGATGAAAGTCAAATGAAGTAGTTGCAGACAGCATCTCTGTTCACTTTTACCCCCCGGCCCCGACAATTCCAGGGACAGATGAGGCTGGATTAACTCATTGGCTGATTGGAAACACTCTGCATCTGTGGAAGCAAGGCTGAACTGATGCAGTCCACGTAAATCGTGTAGATTGTTTGTTGACATTAGTTGAGGCATATACTTACAAGTTGGAAATGTTGTCTGTGGACTTGAAAGTTTGCAAATCACTTGAAGAGAGCCCCTGGCATCTTGGTTCTTGCTGATGAAGGTTTATCATCAGCAGGAATGTAGAGGATGAGATGGCCAGTGGTTTAAAGGAGGGAAGTAAATGCCTGCTTGAAGGGCACCTGGAGAGCAGTGGTTCTCAGTCTTCCTTTAATACAGTTCCTCATGTTGTGGTGATCCCCAACCATAAAATTGTCTTCGGTGCTACTTCCTAACTGTGATTTTGCTACTGTGCTGAATTTTTTGTAATGTAAATAGCTGATACAGGGGATGTCTGATATGTGACCTTTGTGAAAAGGCTATTCCGTTCCCAAAAGGGTCACGACCCACAGGTTGAGAACTGCTGTAGAAGGTTATCCATCTTTTGGGGTACACAAAGGCACTAATGAAGGAGACGTGGGATTTTTGTTGCTGGAGAGTGTTTGGCCAGGGGTACTGAGTTCAGTGGTACAGAGAGCCTTAAGCCACCTTGCTGAGACAAACTTTTTAATAATTGAGCGCCAGAAAGGATGGAGACTACCAAAGAGTAATGTGTGAGAGAATGAAAACTCTAGAACAGGAATGTAGAGAGGTAGGATAGGTGAGAGTGGAATTAGTGATGAGACTGAGGATCCAGACAAGGAGAACGTGAAAGTTGTCCAGATCCGGGCAATGTGTGTAGAAGAGTCGGTCAGGGTCCCCGTGAGACTGAGGGTGGCTGGGAACTAGAGCTGTGCTATGCTTTATTGCATATGATGGCAAATTCAAGAGGATCAGGAGCTCCTTTTCCTACCTTTGAGGTGTTTGTTCAATGACATAAGAGTTTCCAGCCAAATTTCATGCTGGAATAACTAGGGAGCCATTTAAAAAATAAGTCTCTATCTAGCCTTAGCTTCAAGGATTGTGTTTGCTGTGGTGTGCTCCCCACCTGCAGCTCGTTATTCTGTGATTCAGTCAACCTGAAAACCTGGCTGTGTTAGTGGCCTCAGACGAACAAAACATGCATTACAAATCAGCATGTGTTTGTTGTTTAGGATAAATATTGGTCATCTTTTGAGGTTGTTTTCCCTTAGTAATGTAATATATCTTGATACATTGAGTAGTTTTATTGTTATCAGTGACTGGTGAAAATACAAGTCTGGAAAAGGCAAAACCAACAAAACAGAGCAAAGACTAGCAAACTTCTTTGGTAAAGGCTAGATAGATGAGAGTAAATATTTAGGGTTCAAAGACCAAAGAGTCTCTTCAGCAACTGCCCAACTTATTTCTGGGAGAGACCAACTGATGGGCAAACAAATGGCCTCTTCCCTGGCATTTGGTTCACTTCCACCAGGAAGTGCTATGAGGAGACTGTTGGAAGCTGAAACTGGAAAAGTACAGGCAGAAGCTACGTGTGTGTGTGTGTCTGTGAGAAAGAAAGAGAGAGAGAGAAAGGGAGAGAGGGAGTATGTGTGTGTGAGCGTCCACCTTCATTGTTAATTCTTGGCTTGTCTAAAAGCTTGAAGTTACCACTACCGAACTAGTACTAACTTAAAGAGTGGGTGTTGGATTCGATGAGGAATCCAACAGGTCCGTTTTTAGACACCAGTTATTTTGAACTTGTTAAAGAAATGAAAGTATGGGTTTTGTCACAATTAGTAACTCCTGTTATTTTTAATAGGACTTTTATGGGGAAAATGTAAAAGATTCTCCTGATTATGAAAGGATCATCAATCTTCGTCACTTCAAGAGGATACAAAGTTTGCTTGAAGGACAGAAAATAGCTTTTGGTGGGGAGACTGATGAGGCCACATGCTACATAGGTAAAGAAAATTCACCTTTAACTATGACACTTTTACCAATATTTACTGATCCTACATAAACTGTAAACATTGCTTTTTAGTGTACTTTCTTAGAAATGTATGTATGCAGCATCTTTAAGAGCTTCTTGTCACGTTTGTTTTCTTGTATTTTCACATATGATTACTTGATTCTTCTATTCTAAAATCATGAGAAGCAGAAGGGGATTTTACATAATAATCCACATCCACGGCTGGGAAAGCAGCTCATAATCCCATTAAGTAACACCAACCCCTCCAGAGATGTTGCTTTGACCTGCTGTGCTTGACCTCTGCTCGTTCACAGTCTTGGTGTACTTGGCTTTTTGCCATGAAATGTATTACTGTTAATTTCGTCTTGTGTGGAACCCCCGGCCGTACGCATGCTCGCCAAGTACTCTACCACTGAGCTGTGTCCCTAGCCCTGTTACACTGAATTTAATTTGTTTGTGTATCTTATTTTTTTTATTCTATTCATTTTGTGTGTGAGCACACGTGTGTGCGTGTGTGTGTGTGTGTGTGTACAAGTGCATGCGCACATGTATGCACATATGTACCTTGATTTTCTGTTGCTGGAATATAGCACCACAACTAAAAGCAACCTGAGAGAAAAGGGTTTATTTCATCTTACAGCTCTCAGCTCATAGTCTATTCTGAGGGGAGCTGGGGCAGGAACCTGGAACAGGAACTGAAGCAGAGGCTGTGGAGGAGAGCTGCTCACTGGCTTGCTCCTTGTGGCTTACTCAGCCTGCTTTCTTATACAGCCCAGGACCATCTTCCTGGGGTTGGCAACACCCACAATGGGCCAATTATTAACCAAGAAAATGCTCCATAAACTTGCCTACAGTTCAGCCTAACGGGAACATTTCAGTTAGTTCCCTTTTCCTAAATGACTCCTTGTGCTCTTGCTCTCTCTCTCTCCCTCTCTCCTTATTAAGCCATAGCCTTTCCCTTTTGGTTCATCCCCAAGATCTCATATTAATATCAACATTACAATATAAGACATTCCAACTTTTAAAAATCCATGGTCTTTAAAAATTGAAACACTTTTAAGTTCAGTCTCATTATATATCCATAATTTCTCTGAAACTCCAAACTCTTTTTAAAATTGCAAAGTTTCTCCAAAATATCCAGGTCTCATAACTGTGGATTTCTGTAAAATCAAAATAAGTCACATAATTTCTACCCCAGAAGGAAGAACCAGGTACAGTTATAATCGAATCAGAGCAAAACTGAGGTTCCACAGTGTGAAGCTCAGGGTCAGGCTTCCTGGACTCACACACTATCCTCAGAGCTCCAGAGGCTGTAGACAGCCCCACTTCTCCAGCTCTGCCTTCCACAGCACGACACAGCCCACTTCATAGGATCAGGCTGGTCCCCTCCACAGCCACTGCTGTGCTTGGCTGCCGTCCCATAGTGCAGGCATCTACAAAATGCTGGGGCCTCTGCTGCAGCTGGGCTGCACCTTCACCGATTGCTCTGCTGGCCTCTCTGTAGAGACTCTGACCCTGTCATATGGTGCCAAGTCTAAGCTTTTCCTCGTGACCCCTTTAATGGAGGCTACACTTGCACACTGGCCTCCCAAGGTTCCAGTCCTCAGCTGTTCTCCATGGCCTGTTGTGGCTTCAGATCCAGTCCCACCTGGGAGTCTCTTATACATTACCAGATTCAGCTGCCAGCACAGGGTCCAGCCTTGGCCACCTCTGGAACACAGCTTCTGTGTCCTGACCTAAGGAGACAGTTCCTAGATTTCATTCACCTCGTTGAAGTTGGTCTCTTCTTAGTCATAGCTGGTTCTTCAGCCCCAGCTCACCAGAACCACAGATTTAACAGCCTTGCTATTCGTTCTCTTTAAGGACTCTCAAAACTTCCCTCTGAAATTTCGCAAGCCAGGCAGGCCTCCATCATCTGCATTGCTTTCAGCATTGTCTTCCAAGTTCACATTCTAGTTGTTTAGCTTTGAGCATTCAGTGGCTTTTCCAGCCCAAACTTCTTCCACAATTCTCCAAAACAGACTGCCAGGTCTGTCATTGTACTATCCCATGGTCCTAGGACCAGTTTCTATCCTAGTAACATCGTTATTGCTGAGATAAAACATCATCACCCAAAGCACCTTCAAGAGGAAAGGGTTTATTTCATTATTACTCTTGGGTCGTCCTCCATCACCAAGGGAAGGGAAGGCAGGAACCGGAAGACAGGAACTTATGCAGAGGCCATGGAGGACCCCTGCTTACTGGCTTGCTCCTCATGGCTTCCTCAGCTCACTTTCTTAAACATCCTAGGATGACCTGCCCAAGGTGGCACGACCCCCCACCCCCGTGTTCCAGGCCTGCCCACACCAGTCATTAATCAACAGAGAGGCAATCTGATGGAGGTATTTTCTCATTTGAGAGTCCTCTTCTCTAACTCAAACTGACCCAAAAATTAACTAGTGTTTCTGGCATACATGTGGAAGTCAGAGGACAGCCTGAGGGAGGCAGTTTTCTGGCTCCAGGGATTTAAGTCAATGGTTAGGCTCAGTGGTGAGTACTTTGATTTTTAAATAAAGTTTCCAAAAATAACATATAAGATGATGGAAGAAATACAAGAAGCTGACTCCAAATTAATTTACTTATCCTTTCTTTGTTTTTGTTTTTCCAGACCCTGTTTTTCTATGTAGTCTTGGCTGTCCTGGACTCGCTTTGTAGACCAGGCTGGCCTCGATCTCCACCTGCCTCTGCCTCCCTGAGTGCTGGGATTACAGGCCTACACCACCATGTCTGGCTGTACTTATCCTTTCTTAAGAGCTGTTTTTTAAAAAAAAAAAGTTAAATAATAAGAAACTCCTACAGATTGTCCTGGGTTGGATGGTTCAGTGGTTGTTAATACCATAAAAAAGAAAACAAACAAATTTTCATCATCCTGATCTTCGGGACCCATTTCTAGGCCAATCAATGACAAAAGGAAGGGAGCACTGTCTAGATTAGCTTGGTCTCAACTAGGACTTCTCCCTGAGCTCAGCAGTGGGTTTGGAAAGCAGATTTTGTGGTCGGCGGAGTCTGGCACATTGTGAAAGGACAAACCAGCCGGATTTGCCCAGTGGGTGCCCAGTGGGTGATTGACCCAGTGAAATAGAGAGAGAGTTTTGGGTTTTTTTGTCTCAACTTGACCATTCATATTATTTTACTTTTTTATTTTGTAGCCCCAACCATACTTACTGATGTCGATCCTAATTCTAAGGTGATGCAAGAAGAAATTTTTGGACCAATTCTTCCAATAGTGCCTGTGAAAAATGTAGATGAAGCCATAAATTTCATAAATGATCGCGAAAAGCCCCTGGCGCTCTACGTGTTTTCTCGCGACAATAAGGTAAGCTTTATAGAGAACAATTCACTCTAAGAATCAGATTTCTTCATCTCGCTATAAAATGTTGATAGTTTATTTGTATATTATCAAAGCTGAGGGAATGACTGTATTCATAGCTTGCTTTCTTAGGTAACGAAGCCTTATATCCCTGCGCCCTTTTCCTTACTCCCTAGGGTTGGAGCCTAATCCACAGGGGTGAGTGTCACAAGACTTGACTAACAAACACCTCCTGAATACTTAGAGAACTTACATGTACCAGCATGTAGTGCTTTTTGTGATATGGATCCATTGCCCCTGCCCCTGTGACTCCAATGGCGTTCACAGCCGCTCAGATGGCGCTGGGGAAGCCAAGGAGCTCTGGGTTTCAGGTTCCCAGAGGATGGCAGCACTGTGTCACTGAGCAAGGAGCTCTGCCTCTTCCTGTGTGGTCATTCATGTCACCAGGTGACAGGCTGCCCTTAGGAGGGCAGGTTCGGAATCCTGCTGCAAAAATGGAAAAGGAGAAAGGGGAAGAAGGGAGTGATGGGTGTTGAGGAGTTCATTGGCAGGTGCCATGTGCAGTTTCTGGTGGCACGGGGCTGTAGTGACGGGGCAGCTCAGGGGCTTGCAGTGCTCATGAAGTGCTCATGGCTACAGGCGCGGAAAATGAGGTAAGTCAGGTCTACTGGGAGGTGCAGCTGGGTAGAGAGCTCCTCCGCTGTGGTCACCAGGAAGTCCCATTTGAAATCCGCCATGAATTCTCAAGGCTTATTAGTATCTAAGTGAAATGATGTTTATTAGTTTAGTATCAATGAGGCTTTTTGTTTTGTTTTGTTTTTGAGACAGGGTTTCTTTGTGTAGTCTTGGCTGTCCTGGACTCACTTTGTAGACCAGCCTGGCCTCAAACTCCCAGAGATCCTCTTGCCTCAGCCTCCCCGAGTGCTGGGATTACAGGTGTGTGCCACCACGCCCAGCTTCTTTGAGGCTTTTTAGATTTTAGGCTAGCTAACCATTTATTTCTTCAAAAATAGGATAAATCTAAAAGTCTTTTTCCATTCCATACCTGTTAATCATATGTAGTTTGGATCAGGGATTGAGATACAATCATTTTAATATACTATTTTTATTTACCCTAGGAGAATTTCATGCATGCATGCAGTGTGCTTCGGCCACACTCCTGCCTGGTCCTCCCCGTAACTGTCCTTTGCTCACTTACTCGTGGTGTGGGGTCATCCACCGGAGTGTGGTTGTGATACTAGGGAGGTGTGAAACTGGCTCTCCCTCTCCCAGAAGCCATCACACTGTCAGTATCTCTTCAGCTACGGGATAGGGGCTCATGAGTCCCTCCCCTTCCACGCTGGAGTGTGGCCTGGCCCCATCTTATGTGGTCCTCCACAGCTGCTGTGAGTTCAAGAGTGCATGGGTCTTTTCCGAAAAACTGTTTGGCTCCTCCCTACCCTCTGGCTCTTACCATCTTTTCACTTTTTCCTTGGTAATCTTCAGCCCCTGAGGGGAGGAGTGTGATAGAAATGTTCTGTTTGAGTCTGAGCACTCTGTAGACACTAGCTCTCTTTACCAGTTGAGTTTCTGTGTGAACTCCTGCCCGCTGCACAGACACCTCTGATGAGGTCTGAGCAGAGCGCTAATCTGTGGGTATAGAAATGCAAACAGAGGATAGTTTGACACTAAATCCACCGAGCAAGATGCTAGGAGTGGGTTCATCAGTAGGGCCTCTGGGCTCTCCAGTCACGGACTCTTGATTACAGTGCCAGGCATGTTTCTTCCTGTGGAACGGGAAATTAAACCCAAGTGCTGCCACTCCATAGCGTTCATGCCACCATTGCAGCCACACGCATGTCTTGACAAACTAGTCATTTTTGTGGTTCACAGGGTTCAAAGCTGCGTAAGACTCCCATCACCCTACAGCAGCCTGTGTGGCATATCCTGATCCTGTGAAAGCTGTTCAGCAGGGCAGAACCCTTCCGGCCAGTACCAACTTGAGAGAAGTAATAATTTCTAAACTGTCCCTTGTTGGTTCTGGTTTGGAGTGTAGATCTTGACAGTGATCAAGTAAATGGTCCCAAAGGTTCAAGGCCATCCCTCTTTATCTACAGACTGATGTGCTGGGAACCAAAAGTGTATGTCAGAACTTTTAAGGCACTGTCTGACTGTGTGCCCAGCGCTAGCCTTAAACTCCTGCTCCTCCTGCTCCGTCCTCTCAGGTGCTGAGATGCAAGTACGCACTACATACCACCCAGCCTGAGCGCAGAATTTTGTTAGGTTTTGAAATATTTGCCTACAAATTATGAGCTATCTTGGAGATGGGACCCCAGTTTAAGCACAGATTCCTTCTGTGGTTTGTGAGACAATATACACTTAGCCTGAAGATAATTTTAGACAATATTTTTAGTAATTTTTGGCATGAATTTTGTGTCTCCCCAAACTTAACTCGCACAGCCCACAAAGCCAGGATGCATGTCCCTAGAGCCCAGTAAATGCAAGCCAAGATGCGGGAGTGACAGGACTTTAGGCCTGACCTGAGTGCCTTTGGTCTGTTCCTCAGCTCATCAAACGGGTGATTGATGAGACATCCAGCGGCGGAGTCACAGGCAATGATGTCATTATGCACTTCACTGTCAACTCTTTGCCGTTTGGAGGTGTGGGTAAGTGTGACTGTCCACTTACTATTCTATGGCTGTGTTGAGACACCATGACCAAGACAACTGAAAAAGAGAAAGCATTTAGTTGGGGGCTTGCTGACCGTTTCAGAGGGTGAGTCCATCGTCATCATGGCAGAGAGCTGGAGCAGTAGCTGAGAGCTCATATCTGATCTGTAACTTGCAGGCAAAGAGACTCAGACTAGATCTGGGTCTAGTTTTGGAACCCAAAGACCACTCCCCCAAAAGACCATTTCAACAGGGCCGTACCTCCTAATCCTACCCAAATAGTTCCACTAACTGAGGACCAAACATTGAGACATAGGAGCCTATGGCGTCCATGGCCCCCAAATCACCACAGTGGCCTGGACAGAAATGTGCCAGAAGCACGTTTCCTGGATTTCTTGTACAGGCTGTTGAACGTTGGGCGCTGCTTATTCTGCAGGGCTCTGTGAACTTGTCCTTCTCTTAAGAACCCCTCCAGCCACCCAGCTCATAGTAATTTCCTGATTGCCTGCCCAATGCCATCTGCCCTGTTGCTCGCTTTGTCCTCATTAGCACTGACCACAGCTGTGGTTACTTTCTTCACTTACTTTCCTTGCCAGATGTAGGAGGCTGAAGGACCAAGAATCCGGTTTCAAATTAATCAGTAAGATCTCTTTTAAGATGAGGTACAGAGAGAGGTTTAGAATGCCAGAAACTGTATTTCCTGATCTCTGTTTGTGACCTATAGGAGGGTAGTCAGTGCTGCCTGCACTGCCTCCTCAGGCCTCTGTGGGGAGGGCCCTGCCTCCCCAGGCCTCTGGGGAAGGGCCAGTCTTCCCTTGTGTGTTGCTTTATTTGAGGGAGCGAGAATCCCCTATTCTCTAGAGGATGGGCAAAAGGCACCATGGACACAGGCTTCTGGTCCTTCTTACTGGGTCCTTCCTACCATGGCCATGGCTTTAGCTGGCCCCTCTTCTGCCCTCCTGCAGTGTCCTTGGGTTTCTTCTCTGGTGTCATTGTCTTTCCAGTGAATCAGTCTTGCTTTCTAAATGACTACCTCCATTAAAACACTGTTATTTCAACTGTTGCCTGGCCCCAGTCAAGTGTCCCCTGGCTTCCAGTCAGCCTGCCTTCCATCATGTATCATATGTGCCATTGCCCCTGCACGGGACATTTTGCACCTGCCAGTCTGTTGTATGTATTGTGAATTATGTGAGTGTGGCTTCCAGAAAGACAGAAAGTTTTGCTTGCTTATTCTTACCTAGTTGTATAACCCTGTTACCCTATTCTTGGTTGCTCTTGAAGGATGTAGAGGAAAAAAGTGAGAAGAGCTATGGATACATCAGGCCACATAGGCTGATGGGAAAAACACACAGACAGCACTTAGCGTTATACTAATCTGGCTTCACATTTTAGCTGCCTTCTTTAATGGCCATGTGACCTTAGGCAGATCAACTGGTTCTGTAAACTGCTTTTTCCTCTCTGGAAACTGGGTTGGAGATACAGACCATTTTAGGGCTGTGGTGGGAGTCCCCTGAAGAACTCACTGGAACTTTTAGCACACTTCAGGTGGAAAGGACAGCATGACCCTAGAAGGGCTGTAGCGCCTGGCTTTGCTCATGGAAAGCTTCCTGGCTGGGAGGATCGGTGGGTGTGCTTGGAGCCAAGTTGGGAAAGGATTTCTGAGAAGAAAAGCAAAGAAGTTGAGTGTCTACCCCCCAAGCAGAACATCCCCGCCCCCTTTCTCTATCCATGTGGAAACAGGAAGCCTCTACAATGAAATTTGTTTCATCTGTTCCATTTATTTCAGGTGCCAGTGGAATGGGAGCTTACCATGGAAAATACAGCTTCGATACCTTCTCTCATCTTCGCCCCTGCTTGTTAAAGGGGCTTAAAGGAGAAAGTGCTAACAAGCTGAGGTACCCTCCCAACAGCGAGTCCAAGGTCAGCTGGGCGAAGTTCCTCCTGCTGAAACAGTTCAACAGAGGAAGGCTGGGGATGCTGCTGGTCATGTGCTTGGTTGTAGTTGCAGCTGTGATGGTCAAGGTGAGTCCCCGAACCTCCTGAGGCGCCAGTCCTCCTGGCCCTTCTCCCTGTCTGCCCCTATCCTTCCCCTTCTCTGAGGGCTGCTGAGGCTATGTAAGTCCATCTGTTGAGACACTCCATTAGCTCCTAAAGTCTGCGCAATGGCCAGCTACCTGTTTTTGTAAAAGCTTCTTTCTGCTGCAGTGTCAAAGTTCAGTAGCTCTGAACAAGGCTGAATGGCCTACAAAGTCAAAATTATTACAGGAGTTTACCAACTTTTCTAAGACCCTAAAACATTGTGGAGCTTGCTGGAAGGATCCTGAGCCATTTGCCCTCTGCTCCTCAGGGTACTGGTTTCTCTCCTGAGTGTCAGTCTGTTCTTGAATGTGCATGAAGTCGTCGTCGTGGTGATAAGGAACGGTGATGGTGGAAAGAAGTAGGCAAGGGGTATAATTTTTATTTAGGTTTGTTTGTTTGCTTGTTTAAGGTATAATTTTCCCTCCGAAGTAGATTGCCAAATAAAGTTTGTCTTGGGCCATGAGTCATTGTAGAGGTGGAACTGCAAAGAGACCCCTGTGGCAGCCTCCTTCTCTGGGCAGTTTGTACAGCTCTGGGGTGAAGGAGGGACTCTGAGAATGCATGTCAAGATAGAATAGGGAAGGGTTTTCTCAGCTAACCAAGGAGATGTGTGACAATGTCTAAAGAATGGACATGATGGAAGCACACATTTAGTGGAACTACCATGCTTATATGTCACGTATCTAGGCTAAAATGTAAACAGTTGTTCGTCTTACACTATTACCACGCTGGTGGATTGGTGATAAAAGATACATTTGAAATCATTTGGGTTTTCTCAGAAATACCAAGCTCTGTCGAAGGGAAATGCCCTGTTGACTTCTCTGATAGCTCTCAGGCTTCGTTGGTCCAGTAAGCACTGATGATCAGACCTCAGCTGTCTGTTGAGAGTGAGGTAGGAGCTTCCTGTTTTCCTTCTGTGTGTGAGGTGGGCCAGGTTGGGTTCTGTTTGGTTTTAGTTGTTTCTACAGCTGGAGGTTTAGGTTTAGGTTTAGAAGGTTGTTTAACTCACTTCCGTATATTGGACCTTGGCCCAGCTCATCAGTGTTAAAATTCAATTTAGGCATCATCTAAAAGGGACAGGGATGGATACTGATACTCTGAGAGAAATGTAAAGGGTTAACGTCTAGGTTAGGACTGGTGAAGCCTGCACCCTGACTAAAAGTGGGTGGCCACATGTGGAGCTGCAGTGCCTGTCCCTCAGTTCAGGGGGGTGTGCCAGTCAGTTCCAGTCCAGTTACCAACAGGCATTTAACTTTTTGTTTCATAATTTGAGAATAATTTTTAATTATTTATTTATTCATTCACTTGTTTGTTTGTTTATTTTTCAAGGCAGGTTTCTCTGTGTAGCCTTGGCTGTCCTGGACCCACTCTGTAGACCAGGCTGGCCTCAAACTCACAGAAATCTGCCTGCCTCTGCCTCCCTGACTGCTGGGATTATAGGCATGAACCACCATGTCTGTCTAAGAGAAACTAATTTTTAAAATCTCAGAGTTGTTTCATTTTAATTAAAAATAAAACTTGACAACCTAGAAATTCACAGTGGCAGTTTGGGTTTTTTTTTTCCTCTTTTACATCTTTCTAAGGCTGGAGATTTGGCTGGAGGTAGGCTTGGGTCTCTGGTCAATAGCCTTTCTCATTTGACATCGGTTCCTTAGCCTAATGTGCATAATTTTGATTGCGGTTTAATTTCTCAACTCTGGGAGGACATGGAGGACGAAGCTGAGTTAGTGCTTCCCAGGCTTGCCTTGTCCCCCCACACACTCCCACGGGCAGCTTTGAGTCCCTGCATGGGTTTGGCAGGCAGGTCTTCCTCTGCCAGGGTCTTTGGCGGGAACGAGCACACACAGGCTTGATCCTTGGCTTGGCTGTTAAGATGTTTGGCAAAGCCTTTCCAGAGCTTTTACTTGGATCTTCCCTACAGAGTGTGGAAGACTTTGCCATTTTCCCCACCTCCTCCCATCTCATTGCTGTTGTTTAATGCAGTCATTTCTTTTTTAACACATGTAACCACTTGTGTTCTTGGTACCCACAGAGCCCGGAAGAGGGTGTCAGATCCCTGGAACTGGAGTTACATGTAGTTGTGGGTGCTGGGAACCAAACCTTGCTCCTCTGTAAGAGCAGCAAATGCTCATCTCTCTGGCCCCTGGTCAGGGTTTTAAAAAGTGGAGAAATATCAAAGTTGGTTCAAATTAAGAGATGCCCTGAGCCTCCGCACAGTGAAACACACTGTTTTCACCTGCTGTGGTGCCTCTCGGCTTAGGAGGCCGGGTCTTCTGTTTTACTGCACTTGAACTTTAGAACTAAATTCATCAGTTTTTAGACTTCATGCCAACACTTATCTTCCTACTGCAGAGCCAGGATCATCATGTCTCTGCTGCAGTCTACTCCCACCTGTCTGATTATTATTGAGGAAAAGCACAGTTCTGTATTTTCAGTCGAAACTGCACTGTGGCTCCTTTGGGACACTTAGCTCTTTTTTTTTCTCTTTCTATTATGAATTTAGAGTCTCTTAAGAAAGAGAGTATTTTGAGAGTCTCAGTCCCGGACTTACGTTCTAAGGCTGGGTGTGAGTGGGTTTTTTCATAGCAGAGTAACCTGAATCCTTTTCTCCTCCTCAGGATCGGCTGTACTGACTTCCTTGTAGCCTCTACTGAATTATTCCTCTACTAAATGGTTAACAAACCAATACTTTTAAAATCGTACCAAACCAGGAATTGCACAGATGTGCTGCAATCAAGCCTAAGTTGTTGCCACTAGCCACTAATGAAACTCACTGGCAGCCAGATTCCGGCATTTGTCAGCAGTGAAGGTACTGAGAGGACCTAGACCGTGCTCGGGCGAGAACATGCCATGCTGGATCCCAGCTCCGAGGGGATGTGTCAGGGAGACACATGTGTTAGCGGCTCTGTCACTTCTTTGCCGCTGTCCGTAGCACTTCCCACTCCTGCGTCTTCTGCTGTCGTGCCTCAAAAGCTCTCCAGTGTCAACACTGCCCGGGCTTTCCAGCTGTCCCTGTTCTCTGGGTGCAGAGGCTGGGTCTTCCCAGCTCCTCTAAGGGATTGAGGTTCTGGAACTGGGCAGGTAGCTTTGTCCACCCCGCCCACTGTAAGGTGAGACTGACCCTCAGGAGTCGGCTGTCCGCTTAAGCATTCTTTCTTGTTTGTTGCGCGTCACACGAAGTATGTGTGTTTGTGACAGTCTGTTGTGACTGTCCGCAGTGCCTTTGTGACGGCTTAAACTATGCGGAGCCTTTTGCCAAAAAGCAGGGTTTTCTTTATGAACACTGCTCTGAAAACCTTGTCGGCACAGCTGCTCCAGAGGCTAAGGCCAGGAGCTTCCCGAGCCAAGGAGGCTGAGGTCAGCCTAGGCAACATGCTGGGGACCCTCCCCGTTCTTCATAAAAATTCCCTCAAGGTCCTCAAATTGAATGTCACAGATCAATCTTTGGCTTCTTTTCATAGCACAATGCAAGGAAATTTTACTTTTTAAATCTTAAAGAGATTACTTTCTAAATAAATGTAGCCTACAGCTCTTAAAAAGCATGGACCAGTTCCTGTAGTGAAAGGGGGGACATTAGGATCTGAGGTTTCAGAACTCACGGGACAGAGATTGTTGGAAAAGACTGTGATACACTGAAGGGCTGGGGTGGCGAGAAGAGCTCCTGAACAAGTGGACGTCATTCTCGGTCAGATCCTAATGTGGCCAAGTGGGAAGCAGTAAGAAGAGATCTGTGTGGAACCCAGCTGCCTGCGGCCGGGGCCTGGTTGGGCCCGAAGTGCCATGCTGAGGAGGCCTCGCTGCCTTCCTGGATCTACGCCGTGAGAATGTAACTTGCTTTGCTGAATGTATAGCTGTCCTTGCTGAATCGCCTCGTCCACCATTGGCGACGCCTGAAGTATACCGTCCTAGATGCTAAGGTGTGAGGGAGCAAGAACAAATCACTGTTTAGCAAACACTTGCTTATTGTCATAGACTAATCAAAATATGTTGCACAAGATTTCAATGTAGAACTTGCACTTTTAGTATACTAAATTATACAGTGTAACTTCTAGTTAGGCCAGAATACTTACACACTCTACTAATCTTTAAAATAAATATATTTCATAAATTATCATGAGTGATTTTTATTTTTTGTTTGGTTTGGTTTAACCTTTTTAAAGACAGTCCCCACAGACATGCCAAAGGCAAACCCAATGTAAAAAGTTTTTTGTTTGTTTGTTTGGCTGGTTGGTTGGTTGGTTTTTCGAGACAGGGTTTCTCTGTGTAGTCCTGGCTGTCCTGGACTTGCCTTAAAGACCAGGCTGACCTTGAACTCAAGGAGAGATCCGACTGCCTCTGCCTCCTGAGTGCTGGGATCAAAGGCATGCGCCGCCACATCCGGCTAGAAAGTTTTTTTTTAATTTACACTTTCCTCCCGGGTGAATGTAGCAATCCCAAGTTGATTGCTAAAGCTAGCCATAGAAATACATCTAGGTTATGTGGTGGTTCTTCTTAGATTTGTTTGCTTGTCTTTATGAACGGTTAACATGTTTGCTTTTCATGTGTATTAGCACTTTGCCTGCGTGTTTGCTTGTGCACAGTGTTTGTGCCCTGGTGCCCTGTGTAAGGTGGAAGAAGGCATTGGATGGTGGGCAGCTGGAGTTGCAGACAGTTGTCACCTGTCGTGCAGGTACCGGGAACCAAATCTGGGCCCTCTGGAAGAGCAGCCACTGCTCTTAACCACGGAGCCACCTGTTTTTGGAAGAGCTCTCAGATTGACTCACAGAGTGGTAGTTTAAGTTACAGCACTGCCAACAGAGCGAAAGGGTCATTTCCCACCTCCTGGCCAGGGCCAGCACTCCCTGCCACCTCCCCCCCACCCTGGCACACACTCTCCTGCCTCAGGGAAGCTGTCCTTACTGGGGTGAAAGGGATCCGTGTTTTAGATTTCATTTCCGTGAGGGTGAGAGAGGCTGAACATTTTCTCAGGAATTTGTTGGCCATCTGTACTCCTCTAAGAAAAACATCTGTTCAGTTCTTTTACTCATTTACAGTCAGGCTGTTTGTCCCTTCAACTCTGAGTTCTTTAGCTGGACGCTTGCCTGTGATCCCAGCACTCAGGAAGCCAGGGGCAGATGGATCTTTGTGAGTTTGAGGCCAGCCTGGTCTACAAAGTGAGTCCAGGACAGCCAAAGCCACACAGAGAACCTTGTCTTAAAAAAAAAAAAAAAAAAAAAAAAAACCAAAAGCCAAACAAAACAAAACAAAAAAACCTTTGAGTTCTTTATATATTTTACATATTAATGATTAATGTTGGGGTGCATTCTGAGGGTGCAGAGTGCAGTAGGAGGACCAAAAGTGTCCTTTGGAGACAGGAGTCTCCCCTCCTGTGACTCTTCTAAGACATCAGGTGGGAACAGGGCAGAAGAAGAGAAAAGCATTCAGCCCACACCTAGGGCGTCCCCTGGGCTTTGTCCATCCAGATTAGTTCAGGGCCTGTGGCGTGCTCAGCCAGGGAGGGAAAAGAGAGCTGGGGCAGAGTTGTGTAACCTAAGCTCGGGACTCAGCTTGCCACAGATTTTGTGTGTGACTTCGGGCACTTTCTCTTGTTCTTATGGCGTGGTTTCTCATTGTTTGTCAGGGACTGGAATAAATGGTGTCTTGGGCCATCCGACTTTGGGGGACACTGCACGGCAAAGGCGTTATACTAGAGCCCTTTACACCTGCTGCAACCACATGTTTCCAAACGGTGATTCAGCCGCCTCCCATGAGCTCCTAACCAGTGCCAGGTCCATGATGACATTCAGGCAGGAATGCCAGGTCTCCCTCCTGGGCACCCCATAGTTTGGTGGGGAGCGGGGCCAGCCACAGACAGCCTCCTCCGGGCTCTTCTGAAACCACTGCATCTGGGGCTGGGCTGGTGAAGAGCCTGTCCTGTGGAGGGAGTTTGTGAGCTGGGCAGGCTCCCTCGCCTGGTTGCCCACCTGTGCTCTTCCAGACACCGGCAAGGAAGCTCTGGGTCATCCATCAGGCAGGAGCACAGGGCTGGCCTCTGTAGGTACTGCTACACCAGCCTGGGAACAGCACTCCAGACCTGCCCCTGCCTCCTGAGAGAGGCTGCCGGTGCAGTGGCTCTTCCCACTCCCAGGCCCTCAGAGCTAGGCTGCGACATTGTGAAAGCAACAGGGGGAGGTAGGTCGGGCTGCTGATTGGGTGGGTGGAAGAGCAAGCAGGGACAAGAACCAGAGGCACCTGGCTAACACCACACGTTGGCCCAGTCAGGGTCCAGGCGGTGTGTTTGCTGTCCCAGCTCACCTCTCACACCGTGAGATCTTGAGTAACCAGGTCCCCTTCCCAGGCTGGTTTCTCATCTGAAAATGACAGGTCAAGGCTACTGAAGAGATAGTCGAAGCGGATAGAGCTCTGCAGCTTGTGAGATAGGCCCAGCCAGGCAGGACTCACCAAGGAGGAGGCAGGACCTAGCACAGAGCTGTTGGTGAAGGGCCTGGCAGGGCGCGCACCCTCCCGTTGCAGGGTTTGCTGGCCAGAGGCCTGGCATTCAGGTTCAGCCCTGGTGTTTGGGAAATGACCCAGCCTCTCTCTCAGTCTTGTCATTGGAGGAGGACCACAGGCTGTGATGTTTTTGAGGTCAGGAATGTGGAACACAGAGCCCTCCCACTGGCCACACCTTTTGGTTTACCTGAGAGCTCTTACCACCGCCCACCATTACCTTGGGTGGAACCCAAGAAGGCGCTCACTCAGCCGGGTTCTTCTAAGGTCTCCTGCCACATCTCTGCATCAGCTCTACAGGTGTGACACCGTAGATGGATAAAAAAGGGGCCCCTGAAGGAACAAGGAAGCCACCCAAAACAGCTTTCTACCTCCCACAGCAGGGAGGCAGTACCAAGATGTCTGCATGGCCTCCCAGGGGACTGGCACTCAGTGTGTCTGTCCCCGTGTCCAGATGTGTTGGGTTTGCACAGACAGTCCTTGGGCTACAGGGAGGCTGGTACACTCTGCTCTGCACTTTGCAATAGGCGGAGGGCGGGCCTCAGGCATGCTTCATTGGTCCCTTTAACCTCCTGGCCTGGAATCAGCTTTCCCGGGCTGCAGCCCCCTTTGACCACTGCTCCCCTACCCCAGCAGCCACACCTCCAGGGTCCTCTGCCAGCTCCTACCGCCACTCTCTGCCTGTCATAGTGACCCAGGCCACATGGGCAGTGGTGTGCCTCTTACCCAGATGGACCCCAAGCTGTGGTGCCACAGGCTTTTAGCACCTGGGGGACCAACAGACCTTCCCAACTCCCCATGGCTACTCATGTCTGGTGGCCTGGGCAAGGACATAGATGGTGTTTGTCAGGGCTGTTGGCTTGCTGTTGGGCAGGGCAACACAGGCCTTGTTTATCTCCGGGACCGACTGGCTTCGGAGACCAGGTTTTGAAGGGAGTGGCCTTAGACTGAAAGTGTGTGTACTGGCTGCTTTTGTGTCAACTTGGCACAAGCTACACTCATCACAGAGAAAGGAGTCTCCCTTGAGGAAATGACTCCGGGAGATCGGGGCATTTTCTCAATTAGTGATCAGTGGGGGAGGGCCCAGCCCATTGTGGGTGGGGCCATCCCTGGGCTGGTGGTCCTGGGTTCTATAAGAAATCTGGCTGAGCAAGCCAGGAAGCAGCACCCTCCACAGCCTCTGCAGCAGCTCCTGCCTCCAGGTCCCAGTCTGTGTGAGTTCCTGTCCTGACTTCCTCTAGTGAAGGACCATGATCTGGAAGTGTAAGTCAAATAAACCCTTTCGTCCCCAACTTGGTTTTTTGGTCATGGTGGTGTTTCATTGCAGCAATAAAAACCCTGACTAAGACAGGTGACAGGAACTGAGCTGTGCCGACTACAAGACGCATGTTCTGGACCGTCATGTGGAGTGGGAGGCCCTTCTGTCTGCAGAGAGCAGAAGGGGTGCGTGCAGACCCCTGGAGACATCAGTAGAATCCTAGCTCACTGCTTCCCTACTTTTTCTTTTCTGTGAGCTGGGGCTAGACTGCATGGGTTCAAATCCTGGTTTTGCTTCGTATGAGCCATGTGGTCTTCGGGCAAGCTAAGCTTCAGTCACTGCGTATGTCATGAGTAAAGTACTCATGAGTGTGAGTACTTAAACAAACGCATATTAGAACTTTAATATAAAATGCTTTCAAAACAGTGGTGGCATATTTTAGCATTCCACGTTAGGCACGGTGTAAATATTAGGTTTTGGCATTGCTATTGACAGTTAAATTTTGCAGTGATATCTTGCTTTGTTTTCTATCAAAGACCCTCCAGTGATTTTTTTTTTTTTTAAATAGGATGTTTCCTAGACCCAGCTCCCAATGTCCTGTTTGATAAGATCCCATTAGCTTGGTCTGAAGGGTGCATATATTAGGAGAGAGTGAAGCAGACAAAACCATTGCTGCCTAGGTCTCAAACGGGTCAGTGGCACTGGCCTTTTGTTTGGCTGGTTATGTGTGGGTGTGCTTGGGCTTGCCTGGGCATACGCAGGGCGATTTGCACTGTTTTCCCTGGCTTTCCACTGGAGAGCTCCACATAGGAGGCTGACCAACATGAATTTAAAGTAGCAGTAAAACAGCGCCACCAAGTGGTAACGGGGGTCACTGAGCTGTGAATCTACTTGTGCAGCACAGAGTTCCAGAATAGGCCTTCCACTGCCGGAGCTGGAAATACCAGATAGTAAATGGAAAGGGCGCCCTTCCAGTTCCCTCAGTATAGAGCCAATTAACAGCAAAGGAGAGAACACTAGTGGTTTTGCGTTTGGAAAACATTAGGTTAAGATGGATCTGGGAGCACTAGAAGGGCCCTGCCGCAGATTGCTTGCCCACTGTCCCATCCACAGCTGTGTGGGTTGTGCACTTAGTTAGAAGGCTAGGCATGAGCCCAGAAATTCGGGTATCTCTTGAATTTGAGACAGAGCAAAGGTCCATTTAATGTGAAAGAAAATTATAAGGGGAAGTAGCAAACTGGAAAGTGTTTTCAACGTATGTGGAGCCGAATTATATTATTAAATGAAAACTATAATGATGGGGGAAAGTTCAAGCTACTAAAATCAGTGAAGGATATGGACGACTCACAAAAGGAAGACCAGCGATTCATCAACATATAAAAACACTTTATAAGCAATAAGAAAAAAGGCATGTCCGAGCAATTTATTTATAATTGGGAAAACTGTAATAAGAGTGAACAAAAACGATTAACAAGTGCACTCAGTGCTGTCGAGGCTTCACTGATGGATAAGGGTCAGGACAGTTTGACACTGTGTTTCAAGAGCCTCTGCTTCCCATAGTGCCTCCTAAGAAGTTATCACAAAAGGTCAGGAAGAGTTTCCTGATGTTACTGCACAGCTTGAAGATGGAGCTGGGACCTTCTGCAGACAGGGCAAGCCCCCACCATCCAGCTACACCCCAGACTGCAGCGCGCACATTTCATTTTCAGTAGCAGATGTCTGTGTGTGTGTGTGTGTGTGTGTGTGTGTGTGTGTGTATGATGCCAGGTAAGCCTTGGGGTTGTCATTATGGGAGGCTTCTTAATCATATTAAGGGACTAGTGGCCTATTTTAAAGCTCCAGGTGAGAACCAGAACTCCATCTCTGGACTGAGCAGCCACGCTCACACACCTGCCAGCAGATGGGGAGGGGGCCAGAGCCGGAATTCAGGGGACTGTCAGGACTTCCTCAGAAAACAGGAAGTGCTAGGGTGCAATTCCAACCACCTTCTAAAAAAAGAAGGTCTGGAGTTGACCAGCCTGGGCCTCAGGCTGAAGTTAGGCAGGAGTGATCAGGTCCTCCCGCACCTCGTTAGAAAAGGAGCTTCACCAGACTCTGCAGGACAGTAAAAACTCAGGATGACGGCTTCCAGATGCAGTGGCCAGAAGGCAGAGCCCAAGGACAGCCTTATGGCTAGGGAGCTGAAATCTAGAGTGATGTGTACTTTATAAAACAAAATAAAACAAAACAACACCCCCAACAAGACCCGATATTAAAAAAAAAATCAAATGGCGTGTGATCTATAATCAAGACAACCTAGCGAGTGAGCGTTTTCATAAGTCGTTGGACATGGGTTCAGCTGCCGGTTTCCCACTGGAACTGGTGCAATCAATTGAAATCATGTACGAAGCAGGACTGTGTGTCGGACACAGACCCATCCCTTTAGGATCGCTTTTCCCATTAAAATTGCCCTCTGCCTGCCCCCTGCTGGTCATAGCGGGAGCTGCAATGTTGTGGTTACATGGTGCTTCTTACCCTCAGCCTGCTCTGCCGGCTTCTGCCTGGAGACTTAAAGGGTGCAGACAAGGGGGGCATCCATGGAGCTGAGACTACTAAAAGCTCCAGGTCTCTCGGTGAGCAGGTGACCTCCCACGAGCCCAGAACAAGTAGGAGCGGAGCGAGGGTCTGTGCAAAACCGTGTGTTGGTGGGGGAGGGGCTGCTGCTCTGTGGTCCTAGCTGCTCCCTGCTGGGAATCCACTCTTCACTGTCCCTTTGCAGCATCCCGGTCTCTGCTTTTTCACAGACAGGTGGCCTGTAACCCCTGATGACAGGCAGGGCAATGGACACGTGGCGGCAGTCTCATAACAGCGCATTATTTAACCAATCTCAGTCTGGAAGAAGGAAGAAAGAGTAGGAGGGGATAAGGGAGGGAGGAAGCTAGAGAGGAAGGAAAGGCCGGGCCCTTCAGTGAAGGAGTGGACAGCAAAATCCAATGACACAGTTCCAGAGCAGGAGATGAAGAGATAAACAAATCAGGGCATAAACAAAGGTGGCACTCTACTTCCATTGTGCTAAACCCATCGTGGAGTTGCTTTGCCAACACAACCCTCTCTTGGTTTTGCATAAAATCCCAAAATGCTCCAGGGGTGTTTGCACACGGGAGACCTGGATGATGAACTTTCTTTCCCTTGAGCAGAGATGGTCTACAACCTATGCACTAAATAATAAATCTTAGGCTGTGGGTATAGCTCAGTTGGTGGAGTGCTTACATAGAGGCAAAACTCCCTAGGTTCAATTCCCAGTACTGCATCAATAAGGCTTGATGGCATGTCCCATGACCCTAGCTGCTGGGAGATAGACAGGAGGAGCTGAAGTCCAAGGTCATCCTTGGCAACAGAGTTTGAAGACCTTATCCCAAAAGCAAACAAAACAACCACAATATAGTAAATCTAACAACTGCCACCCTGCAGGGGCCCGGGGGGCGGGGCAAGGGGAGTTATTGTCATCGTGACAATGTCATTATTGTCACAAGACTTGGTCTTCTGGCTCCCAGGCCAGCACTTATGATTTTCTCTGTTAATCGCACCGAGGGAGATTTGCCCATGCTGTGGCTTCTCTCCTGCCTGTCTCTTTTTGGTGGGGCTGACAATTACCTGCAATCAGCTAACCTGACCATGTTTCTTTCCTGATAGTGGTCCTGGATGCAATAGCAGCAAATAGTGGCCTCCTTAGGAGTGCATGCAGCCTGCTCTTTACATGGCTTTCCCTTAGGGATCTTGGAGACAGTTTTCTGGTGGATATTCTTGTCTGATTTCGATACAGCAACAGAGAAGGGGACAGTGTTGATGTGTGGCTGAGCAGCCAGCCCTGGGAGAAAACTGAGCAATCCTCAGGAGCCTGTGAGCTGACTCAGCTCTAAACACCTTCAGCCTCACAAACAGATCCCTAGAAGACCAGGGCAGGAGCTGAGCTGTGGTGGGAATGCATGGGCAGGAGAAGCCAGGGCCCACTGGCGCAGGGGGGTCCCTCTGGCGGGTAGACTGCCGAGTGGGTAAAGCCCAGTATCACTTGTCCAGCTCCCACTGTCTGCTACCGCACAGCATTCGCCCCCAAAACTGACCTCTTCAAAGGGGTCACCCTGTGGGCTGCCAGGACCAAGCGGGGGAGGTTTTCCCTAAAATGCTCTGCATTTCAGCCTACCCCTCCTTCCCCCTCACCCCTCTGTGCTGAACTTTGTCTTTCTAAAATGCCACAGAGCACAGCCTGCTCGGTCTGCTTTCTTGCTGAGTAGTAGGGGCAGGCTCTTCTGTATTTTCTTGATGGCTCAGCTTTTCCCTCATTAAATAACACTCCTCTTACTTTCCAGGAGCCATGGCACACGGCAGGAACAGAAGGAGGGCCTCGCTGTCACACTGAGGGCTTTGGTGCTAGTTCTGTCCCTCTCCATGCCCACAGGCCTTGGAGTGCCCAACATTAGGTCAGGATGGACTGGGCTCCAGGAGTTTATAGGTGCACAAGGCTTGAACCTATAAGGTGCACAGTGAGGCCTTATGGAAGAAGGAAGAAATCAGGAATGGGAGGAGTAAAGGGAGACAGTATTGGGATGAAACCAGGAAAAAGAGAAGCTGCTGCTCATTTCTAAGAGGCGGAGGGTGAAGGTCTGGGGGATTCAGGGATTTAGTGGATGCTACTTGCTCTGAAGTGAGATGCAAGGTCTGGCTTTTCTAACTGCCCTTTGCCCTGAGTGGTGGAGCTGAGTCACCAGCTGGCCATAGGGCAGCAAGGAGGGGTCCCAGAGAAGCACTTCATCCCCCGGCCTGGGGTTGACATCTTGATAGAAAGGAGGAGGATGGAGAGAGAACAAGTACAATGGCTTTGGGCCTAGGCAAGCATGTGGAAGGTTAACAGAGGTCCTAGCACCTGTTAGGACTCAAGGAAGTTGGTTACTTGAGGGGTAGGTTACCTGGTCCTTCCCCTAATGGGTCCTGCTTTCCTTGATGAGCCTTGAAGTAAATAAAAACTGTCTAGCTCTAGCCCTTTTGGCACGGGCCACTGCCACCATGAGCCACCCCTCTTCGTGGAGCCCCTAGCTGAGGACGATGACCCTAGGTTGTGTAGAAGCCTCCTGATGTGGCCTGCCATTTTTGTCAGCCCCAGGATTTTGTGGTTTGGGGTCCTTCCTCCCCCTGAGGGTGCTGGGCAGGTCTAAGTTCTCTCTGTTGAGCTCAGGAGGTCTTTGTCTACTTGGCTTTTGCTCAGAGACAAAGGCATGAATTCTAAGAAAGGAAACAGAGAGAAGAGCACGGTGAGAGAAGGAGGCAAAGGAGGGCACCATGGTAGCCTGATAACTGCCTCCTCAGAGAGGTCAAGGTGGCTCCCTCGTCTGTCTGGGCCAGCTCAGTGAACAGCTATGGTCAAATGAAAGGGCAGAGGACAGGAGTGATTTCTCAGGCTTTGAGCCCATTGCACGCTTGAATACTCCATGTTCACTCCCAACTCCCCAAGCTGCCCATGCTGTACAGAGGCCCCGTGAGAGGCGCTCTGTGTGTCCAGCTGAACACCAGCTGGAGCACGCACCCATGCCACCTGTGACTTAGCTTTAAGGATACCTCAGGTCACTGGTCACAGTGCTTGGGGCCAGACCTGAGCAGCATCCCCAGGAGGACAAGGACACTGTCTCTGGGGAACTTTGATGTCTGATGCTCACTCCAGCCACTGTCATTGTGAGGGAGAAAGAAGCTGTGAGCGTCCACATCCTCTATATAGAAGCTCGAGTCAAAGTAGGCCCTGGTGGGGACCCTGCAGGGGAGCCCTTTCGGAAGCCTGTGCAAGGGCTTGCCCCACCCAGCCCCCCACCCCAGCTGTCCTGATGCTTCTGCAGGGCCCCAAAGCCCCTTCCTGTTGAAAAATTCAGACTGGTTCACTTCAGGTGCTGGCCTAGCTGATACGGTTCCAGAACAAACACAGAACAAACACCCATCTCCCCACCCATCCCATCCCCTCTCAGCCACCAGGCTGAAGTGCCCCTCCACCCACGGTTCTTCTAGGGGGGCAGAGGTATCGAACCCAAGCCCACGGTGGGTGTGCACGGATGCTTCCCACACACTCCACAGCTCACCCATGCCAGACCCTAGGTCTTGGAGAGAGAGTGGCCAAGTGAGAGAGTACCAGTAGCCGCCCATCTTGCCCGCCTGGCTATGGGCCTGGGCAAATGCTTTGCATGTGGCTGCCTGGCTTGCCCAGACAATTCCTATTGCCTTGAGGATTTGAACAGCTTAGGCCAAGCCCAGCTGATGTTTTCAGAATTTCCTGTAAACAAAGGGAAAGACACAGCTTATGTAACACCCTTGCTGGATGGCTCCCTTGCCTCAAATAGGACAGCAGCCTGTTCAGGAAGTGCCAGCAGACATGGTGGGCTCAGCTGTCCCCAGCCTGCCGCTGAGGCACCCTCTCAGGGACATTCTTTCTCACCCTTCTGCTAACTGAATGGTTTTGGAGCCCATTCCAGAATAAGAGGAACTTCAGGAGTATCCAAAATAATAGCTAACAAATTGTCCCTTGCAGAGACAGGAAGTCACAAATGAGCTCATCTAATCCACAGCCAGTACTGGCAGGCAAGCATGAGCACTTGCGGAAGACATAGGCTCAGGGGCTGAGCAACAACCCTCCCTGCGCATGCTAACACACACACACACACACACACACACACTGTTCTCACTTCTGCTTGAAGCTTTCTCAGCATCACTGGCCAGAAATCCTAACATTTCCCATACTTCCTTGGAGCCAGGGCATTATGTAAGAATTAAGGTCGGCCCTTTAGAGATATTGTCTGAAACTTGGCTGCTTTGATTGACAGGTGCTTTGAACGGAGGTGAGCCAGTAATCCTGTGTCCAGTCATCTCTTTGTTAAGAGTCAAAGGCAGTTGAACCAGTTTCCCAGCCAACTGTCTGATCCTTGGGATGAGACCAAGACCACGAGCCCTTGAATACCACAGATCCTGGGGAGACCCTGCAACCTATCCCAGGGACCCTTCTTGGAAGCCTGTGCAAGCTCCCTGCAGCTCTCCTGTTGCTTCTGCAGGGCCCCAAAGCCCCTTTCTGTTGAAAATTCAGACTGGTTTACTTCAGGTGATGGCCTGACTGATACAGCTCCAGAACAAGCAGGACCCAGCTCCAGCCCCTCCCTGCCACTGCCACGCTCCATCACGGCAACCCCTCGTGAAATCTGGGCCATCTGTCTTTACTTTCTCACTTGGGAGACAGGGTCTCTGGCCCAGGCTGTACTTTAACTCTTCCCCACGCTGAGAATGACCCTGAACATCTGCTCTTCCTGCTTCCATCTCTCTAGGGCTAGGATTAGATGCATGTGCCATGGTGAGGGGATCAAACTCAGGCTTCATGCTTAGGCAAACACTATACCAATTGTGCTGACTTCCCCGACCCCCGCATAATCAACTTTTCTTACACATCTGTTCTCCTTGGCTGCTGTGCCTTTCATTCCCTTCACAGCATGCTGTCTTGGGTTTTTCTTATCTGTTAATTTGCGCTGTCCTTCTCTGTCCACACGGTAGACATATTCGTTGCTCACAAATGGCTGTTGCTTCTCCCGTGCTTCCAGCATCCTGTCAGCTCCAGGAGCCCTGCTCTGGCCAGTTGAGCGTGAGTGACACTGATCTGGGTGCACACCCCTGCTTCCTCCTCCCCCTGCTCAGGTGACAGCGGAGCCTGCTTGCCAACTTAACCACCAGGATTTTGAGGTGCACTTTCTCCAGTAGCAGAAGCTAGTAGTCCTTTCTGAGCACTCACGGACAGCGACTCCCTTAAAAGCCCACTTCCTTCACCACGATCTTTGGTGCCTGGAATATTCTCCCCAATGTATATGAGCGAACCGTGAATGAACACTTCCTTTCTGTCCTGTGTTGGGATTCAGACCCAGGGACAAGCGGCTGAGGTGCCCATTTAACCAAAGTGGACCTGAGGCTCAGGTTCTCCCAGCACCTCTCAGTCCCTACCTATTACAGGACATGGCTAGTACACCCCACCCTCTGCCCTGCACTTTCCAGCCCAGGGTCTGGGATTCCCCTCCCCAAGAAGGTCATCCCTATATAGTCCAGACATTTTGGTTCCCTCCACCAAACCCTCTTCTCTCTCTCTCTCTCTCTCTCTGCATTTCCTCTGTCCCCCCCCTTTTCTGTCTCCCTCCCCCATGGTAACTTTCCTGGCCCTTACACACTAATTTGGGTTGAATTGGCCCATTTTGTCGGTGGAGATAATCTATCATTCTATAACAAGACAACAAGTGTGGCTAAGACAGAAGTCACCTACAGAGTCAAGCATTGAATCATAGACAGTAGCTTGGGAGTGGCTAGGAGTTCGGGGTTGGGGTGGGGTCTCTTCAAGCATCAACAGTTGAGCCAATGCTGGCTCAAACCTTCTGGAGTCTGACTAAGCGGTTTATTATCTTTACACCCTTAAACACAGTAAAGGTTTGGGGAAAGGTTTCCACATGACAGGGATCACAACAAAGGTTTAGGCATGGCTTCATAGAAACACCCGTGCAAAGCCTTAGAGAAGTACCTGTGACCTTTACCGTAAGAATGGGGTCTTACTCACAGAGAAACAGTGAGCAGGCAAAGGCCTAAGGAGGAAGGATTTGTAATAGGTATAACGATGGGTTCTATTAATTGAGAATGCAAGGTACAATAGAACTACCATAAGGATGGGTTCTATTCACTGAGAGACAAGCTCAGGCTTAGGGCCTGAACAATGCTCGGGATTTGGGGGATTCAGGTGAAGGCTGGCTCCACAGAATAGCAAACAATCGCCAGGTTGTTAGACCACGTCCTTGCCGGCCTTTCAGGTGAACAGGTGTCACTCATTCCCTCCCCTTGAAGAAAAACACCTGCATGTTAAAAAATTCTGGCTTTTCTAATGTGCTGTGCCTTTCACACAATGGCACAAAGACAAAACAAAGCAGAAGACATTCAGCCTGAGCACCTAGGCAGCAAACGATGGGACTGTGGGCGATTTGCTGAGGCTGCGGCTCCCAGCCAATGAGCTGTGGAGACTGCTTCGGACAGCTCAGAGGTGCAGCTCGCTCTCCCTGGTAACATGTGAGTTTCGAAAAGTCTTGGCTGATGGTGTGCTGGATAATGACAGTAACTGGAAACCTTGACTCATAATTGTGCAATGTCTTTTTAGACCAATACTTAGCCCGCATGATGGGAAAAATAGATTGAATCAAGATGTTGGGCCCAGACCAGGTTGTGTGTTTTGTTCTTCAATTGATTTGCATTCAGATCTACTCTAAAAATGGTGTTAGCTTTGGGGTTTTATTAACACAACAAATCATATTTCTTAAACATCTGGGCATGTAACAAAAGAAATCTAAGTCAGCATATCACAGAGATGCCAGCATAATCATGTTCATAATAGCCAAGATAAGGAACCAGCTTAGCTGCCCATCAACAGATTAATGGGCTTACATAGACTCAGAGGAATTATATTCAGCCATGAAGAAGAAAGAAGTTATGTCGTTTGCAGGAAAGTGGATAAACTGGAGATCATCAAGTTGACAGAAATAGAGAAAACTCTCACATGCAGATTCTAGATTCATTTTAACTGTCTTAATTTTACATTTATTGAGAGACAGAGCGTAAGGTTCAGCACACCTGTATGGCCAGATGAGTCCAGGCCAAAGGACATCTTTCGGGAGTTGGGGTCCCCCCCCCGATCATGTGGGAGCTGGAAATAAAACTCAGGCTAACAGCTTTTGAGGCACATGCCTTTCTCTGCTGAGCCATCTCACTGGCTCCAGAATCTAGATTAAAACAAAACAAAAACCAAACAAACTGCTGCCTTTAGTTTTTTAAACATACTTTATTTGGGGTTCCTTAAGTCTCTACCTCCCTTTCAACCCCTCAACCGTAGGTAGGAGAGAAAGAAGGTTAGTAGGGATACGGAATGTAGACCTCTTTAGATGTAGTTCCTTGGGGCAATTCTACTCTTCATCACCAGGATCCCAACAGTCCAGCAAACAGCACCCCAGCAATCCAGCAATCTAACAATCCAGCAATAGCAAAAGCATCAACAAAGACCAGCAGAAGCAGAGGCAGCAGCCTTGAAGCGTTTCTCTCTAGGAGCATCTTGAAGTGACTCTCTCTCTCTCTCTCTCTCTCTCTCTCTCTCTCTCTCTCTGTGTGTGTGTGTGTGTGTGTGTGTCTGTCTGTCTGTCTCTTTCCCAGGCTATTTCTCTCTCTCTCTCTCCCTGGGCTCCTATTTATACCTTCTCAGAGTCCACACAAGGATGTATTTCAGCTGGCAAAACCACACCCCTCCCACAGGAGGCAGTTTCTAGCCGGCAAAGACCATGCGCCCTCTCATGAGGCTGTTATCAGCTGTGGATAGGCTGAGAAAGCAGAAGAGAGGCTCTGCACGGAGAAGAATAGATCGAAAGGGGTAGAATAACAGGGGAGGGAGACAAATATAGTGTGTTTTTTCTCATGTGTGGAAACTAAACTGCGCTATATCCTGTTCTCTCGCATGAACATGCTAGGGCTATTCAGCAGAAGGAAGACACGCAGGGGGAAGGACACAGGAGAGAGGGATAGAGAGAATTACGAACAAAATATAAGTATGGAAATACCATAGTGAATGTACACATTTTGCATGGTAAAACTTTTTTTTAAAAGAACATTAAAATAGTAAGAGTAAATAAGAAGAGGAGGAGGTGAATGCCACCTGTATGCTCTCATCTATCCCTCCAAAATACATAGATGATACCTTTGGGATCCCCACACTCCTTTTTCCCAAGTCAAGTGTATCTACCTCTGTCAAGAGCTCATTATGCACAGGGGCTCAGGGGCCAACAACAGGCAGATGCCCTGTGCTGGCACAGTGAGAAGTGGCAATTCTTGCTGAGCCTCCATTTATTTCCTCATGGCTAGATGGGTTCATGCCCGTAGTGCATGTGTCATGAAGCCATCTGCTGAGAGCCATATGAAGACAAAGAGAAAGTCCATCTCTTATAGCCATCCGATGTAACCCAACACCGGTTTTCTGATGAAGGCTAACTAGGCCTCAGGAGAGAAGACTCCACAACACTTATCCATTGGCACTCAGCCTGACTGAGTATGTGCCATCAAAGAAGACAACCGTGTCTTACCTGCCAGCAACTCAGAATGTTCCTGGTCTTGGAATCTTCTGAAGAGACCAGTAAGGTAAAATGAGGTCATGTGGGTGACCCGAGTCTGATCTAACAGGTGTCCTTCAGAAAGAGGCATTTCCCCCATGACATCGGGCCACTTTGGCACCGGTGGGCATGTGTTGCCAGGCTGGGTGTGGCTGTCGCTCACAGGGCTCAGGGCTGGGTAGGATTGATGGTTACTTTTCCCCTCCTGTAGCTTACATCGTGCTTTTCAGCACCACGAAAGCTAGTGGCGGGGATGAAGCCCTGGCCAGTACCAGCTTGGTTTCTCCACATTCTGTGACTCAAGTATGTACTGTCTTCAACAGTAGGGTCTTACCATAAAGTTCTGGAGGGAAACCAGGGTAAATAAATAATCTGTAATGTGTGTGATATCTTGAACCTCACCAGCTCAAAAAGAAACGACCCATTTCTGGCGTTGGTCTTTTTATTAGATGGCCTGTGATGTCTGGTAGGGGCATTGCTACCCGCTATTGAATAATTCCACTTAGTTCACTCCTGTCCGTGAATCCTCCCTAAGCCTTTAAACTAAAGTACTGTATTCTGTCTTGTTTCTCTTGAAAAGCTCTTCCTCATGACCTCCTGGGTCTCTTGAAAACTTCCCTGACAGCTATGGGTATTTCAAATAAAGCATGTGTGTCAGAAGATTCAAAGCTCCATCCACAAATAAGAAAAAAACAAAAAACAAAAACGTGACGTTTGTCTTTCAGACAAGTTTCTAGCTCCATTCATTTACCTATGAAATTTATAATTTCATTTTTGTTATTTTATAAATTTTATTATTTTAAAACCTTGCAAATAAGTGAAAACATCACACCCCAAAATTGACTAGACCGGAGTCTCTATTCTCAGTGAACTTCTGTACAGTGTCGCTATGGTATTTCACTGTTTTACACTTTCAGTATTGAGTCTATTTTATGCACTTGTCCACCACCAAAACAAACAAACCAATAACAAAGTTAGAACTAGAAACAAATTAGCTTTATATTCTCTTTCATAACGTGTGTCCATCACCCGCATTCAATCTTTCCTCCCTCCCTAGTATTTAGCCTTTCTTCTTCTCTTTTGTCTGTGCTATGCTGTTAACCTCACGTACATTTGTTTACATGTATACATATATCGTTGGCTAGAATGCATCTTTCTGTGATCATGTGACCTTGTTCAATATTGTATATGGTAAGTCCATCCTTTTTCTGTGTGAAAATGCTTTAACTTCATCTTTCTTTAGAGCTAAGAAAGACATTTTTGTATGTGGTCAAATCTCTCAAAGCCGGCAACGGCCATGAAGATACTTGCGTCCCATGTAAATGCTCTTCAAAAGGTTGTGGAAGCGGAGAAAGCCTTGAGTGCTCATGTATAGAGTGGCGTGAATTCGTATTGTTGATGTGCCCACGTCAAAGTTCCAATGCCTCAGACCCATGGCCGGAAGACCATCCCCTCCCTAGGAATCGATGGGTCTCCTGCGCAAGGTTGGGACTCTGAGACTTGTAGTCTGTGGACTGCACAACGGCAGGATTCTTGACCTTTCTGTCAGGACGGACACTGTCGGTCTTGCGGACCACAGCCTGTGAGCCACTCTGCTAAATCACAGGTGCATCCGTCCTGACATGGCCATGCTAATCAAGTCTTCTTCCTCCGCCGCTCGCCACTACTCGTCTTTCGTTAGTGTGCTGGGACGGGGGCCAGCACACTAACGACAACTCAGCCTGGTTGACTGTGCTGCTGAGGGTGGCCCCTGCGCATTGTGGGTTACGATGATAACAGTTGCCTGTGGTGCCTGATGAGTCATCTTTAACACCAGGTCCTAAACCTCCACCTTGGGTCATGCTAGCTTGACCACGCACTGAGCGGGCATCACAGGAGGAGGCATGAGGCTTGATCACACATGCACAGACCTGCAATCATCTCTCGTGCCTTAATCCCTCCTCGGAGAGGTGCATTTGAGTGTTCGGACTCTGCCTCTGAGCTCAGCCACCTCATAGTGAACTTCCTCTTGCAAAACTCTTAGTGACTGGAGGCCAAGGCAGTGGGTGGGACAAGCCTGGCTCCGTAACAGTGGGGGTTTTGGTACTGACCACTGTGCTGTCACACAGAGGCCCCCTTCCCAGATGTCATAACTGATTTGAGAAGAGTAGGCCACCACCTGGTTCCTGAGCCACTTGGTCATGAAGGCTCAGCCTCCTCCATTTCTTTTCATCGAGACACTGGGAATGGAGCTGACATCCCAAACGCAACACGGGGAAAATAAATGGCATCCCCAACTGTGGCCTGCCATCTCACAGGCCATGAATGAGCTACCGTGGGAGGAGGGAGCTGTGTGGGCTTGTCAGGGTGACCAAACCCTGAAGGACTTGGGATCAGGGTACCGAAAGAAGTACAGCATGCATGAAGCGTTTCCTTCAGAAGGTTTTATTGATCTCTGTGCCCAGCAAACAGCAGGATTTGGAGGGGTGAGGTGAAAGCCAGCTAGGAGTTGAGCACATGCACGGGGCAGCAGGTGGGTGAGAAGCTAGGGTGAGGCTCCAATGGCAGTTCTCCGACGACGGGGCAGCCAGCAACAGTGAGGCAGTGTGCTGCGCTCAGTGCAGGGGCATCTGTGAGGACAGGGAGGGGACGTGAGACCCAAGGCCCCTGTGCCCTTGTCCTGTGCAGTCCACACCCGTCAACACCCAGGGCCTTCCTTGCTCCTCACCTTGTCTGGGCTTGGGGGGTACCTGGCCTTGTGAGCATCTTCATTCTGCAGAGACCTCAGCAGGCAAGAACGGCGGTGGGAGAAGGTCTCAAAGCTTTTCTTGCCATGGTAGGCCCCCATGCCACTGTTCCCTAAATGAGAAGATCCCAACCAGTCTTACACCCACGAACATCCTGAGCCTTCTGGGACAGCCAAACCTTAGAGCATCCCTTAGGACGCCTGTGTCAGGCACAAGAGTACCCAGAAAGAACCTCATCCCAGCTGTGCTGCTAAATGGCTGCATGACCCCAAGCTTGGGACCCCTGGGAAAGGCCAGAGCACCAGGTGACTGGTACTAGGATCTGAGCACGAGACTTACCCACGCCCCCAAAAGGCAAAGTGGACACAGTGATGTGGACGATGACATCATTGGCTGTCACTCCACCACTCGATGTCTCTGTGATCATTTTCTTGATCACCTGTGTAAAGACCCAGGCAGTTGCCTTGCAGTCCTGCGTTCTCCCCGCCCTTTCTGAACGCGTCTTGGAGCCCCGAGAGCAGGGACTAGTGGAGTCTGAGCCCCAGCCACCAGCTCTGCCATCCTTAGCCCCTGCCATGTCCCCAGCCCCATGCAAATATCTCACGGCCCTCAGCACTGTGTGGGGAGATAGCCACGATTCCACAATCCTGTGGCGATGGCCACCTCATCCACAGCTCTAGGAAGATGGGACTGTCCTAATCTTAGAGATAAGGCCGAAGAGGCTCGGCCCGGTTAGGTGGTTTGCGCAAGGTCACACATCTAATGGATGAGGAAGCTGCAAACTTGAACCCAGGCCTGTGGGTCCCCTGGCCCCCTTGCATGTGGGTGCTGTGCCTGAGAGGCCAGGCAGCCCTAGGCCCACCTTGTCGTTGTTGGAGAACACATAGAGCGCCAGGGGCTTCTCGCGCTGGTTGATAAACTTAATGGCCTCCTCCAAGTTCCGGACACACACGATGGGCATCACTGGTCCAAAGATCTCTTCCTGCATCACCCGGGACTGGGGGTCCACGTCCACCAGGATGGTGGGAGCTGAGGCAGGAAGTGAGCCGGAGTCTGTGCGGAGCCACCCCAGCCCCCAACGCATGCATACACGCATGCCAGTGCCCACATCTGGCTCCTGCTTGTGTTCTTTTGCAACCAGAGCTGCAAGCTTATGTGGGGCAGAGGCAAGACCCGAAGCACTCTCTCATATCCACCTCCTCCAAACTCCCTGGACTCCACCATGGCAAACCCCGGGGATATCTGCAGATTAACCTGAACAGGGGAACAAGTTCTAAACAGTGAAGGGACAGCTATTACATCTGCTGATCCTCCCATGTGTCCATCCCATAATTCTCCTGTCTCCTTGGTGACTGGAGAGCTACAACTGCCATTGCCTGAGCTAAGGCACTGGGCGCTCCTCCCGGCCTGCCCCTGCCTTGAGCTCTCGTGACCTCTGCCTGCTCCAATCCCTGCCCCTTTCACAGACTGAAGGTGGAGGTGAAGCCCTTGTCTCTGACTCCTGGGAGAGAGGTTTCTGGGGCTGTATGGATTCCTTAAGAGCCATGCTCTGTGGCTGCCTTCTGAGAGCCCCAGAGCTTTCTGCAGGCCTCCCTGGGAAAGCCTGCTCCCTGGCTCTCTGTGCTCACTTCCTGTAAACTTGCTGTAGACCCGGGCAGCCCAGGCAGACGAGCAGAACACACACCTATGTATCGTGACGCTGCGTCCCAGGTGCCTCCATGGGCTACTTTCCGGCCCTCAATCAGGTCTACGACCCGCTGGAAGTGACGGTCATTGATGATTCTCCCATAATCACGGGACTGCTTAGCATTTTCCCCATAGAAGTCCTGAGAAGAGATGGAACCTCAAGGAAGACCTGGCCCTGCCATCCCCACGACTTCCAAGCTGCTGGGCAGCGGTGGGCAGCGGAGTAGAGCTTTTCCCTTCGTTATGCTCTGACCCTTCCCAATTCTCTGCAGTGTGTGTGCGTGTCTCTTTTATGAGAAGCACCTGTTTCTCAAAGTCCTAGAAGTTGGTTGAGGCAAAATAACACCGGGCATGACTTACAATTCTTATTCCCACCCTCGGGCCATACTCACTTTCAGTGACTTTTTCAGCTTCTCCACAATTTGGTTCTGAATGGAGGGGTCACAGAGGATGTAGTCTGGGGCCACACAGGTCTGGCCGCTGTTCATAAATTTCCCCCAGGCAATACGCCTGTGAAAATGCAGTCTGTGAATCATGGGTGTTCCCTTGGGAACGTCTGCATGCTCAGGAGCAAGGCGCTGAAGGCTGAGTGATGGAGGACAGCCCATGGGCTACCTCCTGCCACTGCGGGTCATTGAGCTGCCCAACCCCCGCCTCACCCACAGGGGTTACTGCAGCCAGTGTGTTTAATGTCATAAACACAGTGTCGGTGAGGAAATTCTGAGGACCTGGGGTAAGTGCTCTGTGACTTTGGTTCTCAGAGCCTTGCCTGGTCTCTGGAGTGATATCTCTCCTTGCGCCCTCCGTAGAGGCGGAGGACAGAGATGGCCAGAGGCCTGGCTGGTCCACGTGAGTTCCATCCTGGACTCTGAGCAAGTGGCCCAGCTTTCCAGATTGTGCTTTCCAGATCTCAAATGAGACCTCCTACCGAGGGGTAACTGGGCTTGGGAAAGGTCTCCAGGCCCCGAGCGGCCCACCTTTGCTTTTCCCGAAGCTTCTACGTGGAGCACTGGCCCAGTGACGCCCACAGAGTCAGAACTCTCTCTAGAGGCCCCCTCTAAGAAGACCTCTACCGATGGCGTCCCCCTCAAGGGAGCCACAAACTACAGGATCCCTAAGGGTAGAGACCATCACGATGATTTGGCACAGCACCCCAAGCCCCCTTACCGGCAGGCTACATCTAGATCACAGCTCTTGTCCACGTAGCAAGGGTTCTTTCCTCCAAGCTCCAGGGTGACAGGGGTCAGGTGCTTGGCGGCAGCGGCCATGACAATCTTCCCGACAGCTGTGCTCCCGGTGTACATGATGTGATCGAACCTCTCGGTCAGCACCTCTGTGGTCTCTGGGACACCCCCTTTGATCACGGAGTACAGATCCTTCCAACAAAGAGACAGGGGGGCTCAGCCAAGATCCAGCCTCTCCCCACTCCTCGAATAGGTGTGGGCAACAGCAGACTGGCCGCCCCTCGGCCCCTCAGCTCTGTACTTACCTGGGTACTCTAGCAGGTAAGTCATTCTCTTAGGTCAGGGCTCCACTGACCCTGTTGGTAGGAGCTGGACATCTCCCACCTGGCCTAACAATCCAGCCTCCCATGCATTAAAGCCCTGACCCCCAATACAATTGTCCTGAGCTCTAAAAGGGACCTCACCTTGTCCAGGTACTGAGGGATAAGTGTGGCTAGCAGGTCCGCTGTGTTCTCACTCACTTCAGAGGGCTTGAGGACTACTGCATTTCCTGCAGAAGGCAAAGTCAACGTCATCATCCTCAGGAGACCTCCTCAAAGGCTCCTCCCACCCAGTGACCCAGCCTGGAGATTCCATTCCATTATCTGTACCGTAGGCCGGTGGTAGGGGAGGCCAGACACGGGTGCATGCTGAGACGCACAGGCACACACATAGGAACACAATGTTGGAGCACACACAGGGACACACATGAGCATCTGCCACAGGGACACACACACACTGCGACACGCTTTCCGAGAGGCGCCACCTGCCCCTCAGCAGTGCTGGGGGGCTGGGGGAGAAGATGGGACTCACAGAGAGACGCCCAGGCTGGGCGAGAGAGCAGCTCTGGCTACTTCCGTCACCTATTCGTGGAGAGTCATTCCCCTCCCTCCCCCCATAGGCCAGCCCGGAGGCCTGGTTAGATGGTTTGTGGGGTCATCACAGCCTCCTGTAAAGGAGCTCTCATACCTGCAGCGATGGCGCCCACCATGGGCTGGATGGTGAGGTTGAAGGGGTAGTTCCAAGCACCTATGATGAGGACCACGCCCAGGGGCTCCGAGTGGATGTAGGCCTCATCGTGCTGGATCTGGCGGGTCTTCTCCACCGGCTCATCCTCAGCCCACTCGGGGAGCTTCTTAATTGTGGTGTCAATCTCCTCCAGCACATGGCCCACCTCCTCGTAGTACGCGGTCCATTCATTCTAGGAAGAGGTTCCCTGTGAACTTGAGGCCCAGAGCCAAGGCTCTACTTGCCTTAGGGGGTTGGCTGTTTAACAAGGGGTCCGTAGCAGGGTGGTGGGGTACAGAGAAGGCACAGAAGGGACACAGAGCTGAAGACAGTACATATGCATCTCTTTCTTGAACTTTGGGAAGTCAAAAGAGTGCGTTTTCTCGTTCTTGCCTTACGGTGGGCGCCACGGGGAGGGTGGAGGCAGTCTCGAGGGAGTCCCCACAGCAAAGGGAAAGGCTTGTGGATTTGGAGGCTCCTGATTTTGCTCAGAGTAACAGATGGAGCAACACCAGGGGACAAGGGGGAAAGAGGAAGCCACGTGGAGCCAGATCCCTCTGGAGTGCGGCCTTTCTGGTCCTTGGTGGACCAACCAGGCAAGGCAGGCGGGTTGGGAGGGAGTTGAAATGGATTCGATGAGGAAGCCAGGCCATTGGGATAAAGTGACAAGTGGGAGGGAAGGAGACCGTGTACAATGGTGGTGAGGTGAGGGCGGCCCTGAAAGCTTTGTTAATCCTTTCCTATCCTCACATCACCCCCACCCCCCACCCCAACACTGCCACTGCAGAGCAATCCTTGGTGAATTGGGTGGCAGGCAACTGATGATGCCTTAGGCTCACGGCGCAACCGTCCCTGTGCCTGTTGTATCCCTGCTCCTTCACGTAGCGTCCCCCACCTCCACCTCCACCCCGCCCCAGGCACCTTGTGCAGATCAGCGGCCAGCGCAGCCGTGATGTCAGACTGGTGCTCGGTGATCATGCGCCGCAGCGCCTCCAGCTGCTGGACTCGGAACTGCAGCGGGCGAGTCTTGCCTGTGTTAAAGGCCTCACGGGCCCGGTTCACGACGTCACTGATCTTGCTCATTGTGCCTGGGGATAGAGAGCACTTTGTAGCAGAGGAACTTTGGCACCAGCATCCTGGCGCGGGCTCACCCCGTAACTAACCGCTATGTTGATTTTATTTGGAATAAAGACCTCTCCTAGAGACTGGAAAATGCATTCCCACTGGAAGGTCCCTTTTTCTGGCTGGCTTTTCCGATGTCTTTAGACATCTCAGAACAGATGACATTATACTGCAGTGACCGACACACATCCTCAGCAGAATCTGCCGTGATGTGGAAGGGGGCGCCCTTCTTGGCAACACTCCTTCCTGGTAAACACTCCAGCAGCCAGGCTCGCATTTGATTCCCAGCCCCTCGCCTGTAACTCTAGCTCCAGGGGCGGAATCTAATGCCTCTGAAGGCACTCACACGCAGCCACACACACATACACAACCACACACATAATTAAAAATAATAAATCTTTGCACTGAAAAATATATGATTAAAAATTTTTAAAGTAAGTATTTATAACACGGAAGGTCTGCTTGGGAGTTCCTAGTAACCGCGGCATCCTGAGCGCCCACGAGCCAGGAAGAGCTCACTGTTTGAAGGTGACACACATGGAGAACAAGCCCAGAGTGTGACAGCCCTGTGGCATCTGTGTGATGGATTATTTAGAAAAAAGACAGAAAACTATCAAGCACAATCAAGCTCTGCCTGCCACACGTGTCCTGGGGAAGAAAGAAACAGGCTTCCCAAACAACAGCTGCAGTGTGTGTGCATGAGGGAAAGAAAAATGGAGGTTGCCTCAGTGTGAGGGGAGGGGAGCACCTGAAGGAGGAAAAATCATTGGTGATCTCTCTCCCTCTTTCCTTCCCTTCCTCTCCCTCCCTCTCTCTCTCTTCTCCCTCTCCCAGGACCTGTACCAGACTATACCCTAGCTGCAGTGACCTTGCTTTTCATTTTTTATGGTGTTTGACATTTTGTAATGAGCTTGTTTTCCTGAATATCTGTTGCATCTTTGGGTAGAGACTACATGGTAATGCTGCAAAATTGAACAAAAGAGGACGCATTTAACTGTGCCTCCCCCCTCTTCCCAGGAAGCCATCTTTTCTGCTGCCCAGAGGGCCATGGTGCCAATCCCTCACACTCCTTCCGGAGAGATTTGAGCCAGCACTATATGCCATTTAACACTGGGGTGTGGAAGAAGCTATTCCCATTGTACAGAAATACAGCAAGTGCCTCCAAGCCCAACCCATACAATCTTACATAAATATGGTATTTAATGAGGTTAGCCATTTAATGGGTGCATGAACCCGCCTGGTTTGGGATTGATTCCTTCCACCACCTCCCTCACCCTTGGAGATTGAGCCTCTAGACTTCCTGCCCTGGGAGAGGAACCCTGCTTGCATCCAGGCTCAAACCTGGACATGCCAGGCCCCATTCCTCATGACCCACCAAGAGACTGGGCAGTTCCGGTCTTTCCGGCCTGTGGGCCAGGTGCTTCCGGCTAGCCGAGGCTTCAGCCATGCAACCCTCCAGCAAGACTGCAGTCCCCTTCCTACCCCTGCGGTCTAACCAGGACCACACAGCCTCAGCCACTACCAACAAAAGGTAGGGGGCCCAAAGGGGAAGAACTTCATGGGAATGAAGCTGGGTTGAGCTTACCCCTCAACGTCACCTCCCAAAACTAGCTGGTCTTTAAGAAGCTAGGTCCCGCCGGGCACGGTGGCGCACACCTGTACTCCCAGCACTCGGGAAGGCAGGAGGCAGGTGGGTCTCTGTGAGTTTGAGGTCAGCCTGGTCTGCAAAGCGAGTCCAGGACAGCCAAGGCTACACAGAGAAACCCTGTCTCAGAACACCAAAAACCAAAACCAAAACAACAACAAAAATAGCCAGGTCCCTGGGCTTCCTCTGTGGACCGGTTGACCACTGTGTGGTTCCCAGAGTCGCTGATAGACAGGGGGAACACATTTGATGTTGCACCCGGCACCCGAGTGGGACATGAGCTGGGTTTCCTCTCTCAGGACCAGCCCACCTCGGGGCTATAACATCCTTGCAGGCGTGTCCCACCTTCAGCGGTCCTTCACACTCCCCTCGGTTCTCATAAAACCTCCGAAGAGCTGGTTGAGACAGCTCGGTGGGTGAAATACTGGCTCCGAAAACAGGAGGACCTGAACCCACGTGAAGCCAGATGTGGTGGCACATTTCTGAGCTCTCACAACTGCTGGGATGGGAGGGAGAGGCAGGAGAATCCCTGGAACCTCACTGGCCAGCTGTCTTGTGTACCTGAAGAGCACTCAACAACGAAGAGCAGAGCCTGCCTTGAGCAAGGTAGAAGGTGGGAGCTGACAACCGAGGCTGTCTACTGACCCGAACAAGTCATGGCACACACACCTGTACACGTGCGCACAAGGAAAGGGGAGAAAGAGCAGAGACAGAGAGGGAGAGAGCGATTGAGTTTTAAATGCACCATGAAAACACTCACAGAGAAACGCCAGTGGTGCATCCGTTCCACAGATGAGGAAGGTAAGACTGATAACACTGGACGTGCCATCTCTGCCCTCAGGTGGCAGGCACTGAGGTCAGGCTTTGACCCCACATGCATCTCTCTCCAAGGTGCACTCGCTCGGCTACTCAGCCCTGCCACCTTTCTAGGAGCAGAGAAGCTTGACTGTGCACACCAAGATCTCTCACCCCAAAGCCACCTCTGTTCCTGTGCTTTGTGGGTCCCTGGGACTTTCTTGGCCCAGTGTTGCAGATGACAGAGCTCCAGAGGTCCGGTGCTGGACAGTCAACACACTCAATCAGGAAATGTTGGACCATCAGGGTCTGGACCAGTTGCCCTCAGAGCGGACGAAAGTCTCAGACTCTCAAGGCCCTTGCTTCAAGCAGGCTCCGCTTATATACTTCCACCTAGAGACAAAGTGAGGAGGATGGGGAAGGAAGGTTACCTTTTTCACAGCCTCCTCCAACAGCCAGGACTCCTGGAATGAGCAAGAGCCAAAAGAGGCCATATTTAAGGACCCTCCTTCCCGCCTACTTGGACCCTGGAGTCCTTGCCCAGGAAGTTCGCGTGATGAGGATAAAACAATATTCAAATGTGGGCGCAGCATAATCCGGACCTCTGCTTCACGAAGGTTTTGAAGATTATGTCTCGGGCTGTCTGTTTTGTTCTGTTCTGAAATGCAAGATGGGCCTGTGAAAGTTTGTGTGGGCTCTTAGCCAGCCCTCAGAAGAAGCCTATGTTTGCCCTGGGCGTGGAGGCAAACTGAGTAATTCAACCTGGCACGAACCTCATCCATTTACTTCCAAAGTGCTTTCGCCAGCGGCTATTCCACGAGTCCCCTGTTATGTAAGGTCTGCAGTGAGTGAGCTCCAGCACAGCCTGTGCACAGCACCCAGAAAAGTCATGGCAGAAATGCACATCCCACTCTGTCGCTGCCGTATGCCCGCAGACCAGGGTCCCACTGAAGCACAGACTCACAGCCTGCTGGCTGGAGGTTTCTACAGGGGTCCCCTATAGTGTGTGGATCTGTTGCCTCAAAGATTAGTGGAGGACATGGCCAGGGCCCCCCAGAACTGCTAGAATGTCCTCTCTGGGAGCACACCCAGGGAGGACAGAGCTGGGAGTCCCTTCCTCTGTGTTTTAGCCAGTGTTCTCTGAGCGCCTGCTCTGTGCCACACTGTGGTGTATTGGCTGGCATAGTTGCCACAGTTGGCACACCCCACACCTACACTGTAACCAGGGCTTCTAGGCCTCTTTCTGCCAGGCCCCTTTGCCCTCCTACCTACCCTGCTGTTCTTGCACCTCGGTTCTCGCAGAGGTGCAGAGGTCCCCGCCATGGCTGTGAGCCACAAAGGCCACACTCCTGCCTTCCCCTTGATCTGCTCTGCTCCAGTGTCGTGTCACGTAGCGTCGCTTTGTCCTCTTCAGTCTTTTCCTCTACAGCAGTTATGCCCTCTGGCATGCTGTGTCTACAGTTATGGGTAATAAGATGATTCAGTTGAATTTTCAACTGAATAATCTTATCAAGTTGAAAAACATATATTACAATGCCTAATGCCAACTAATGGCTTACTGGCTTTTGTATTTGCAGCTCTCGTTATCATGGCTATAAAGTGTATCCCTTTGATCGTAACGGGAAAAGAAAAGGGAAAAGTGAAATTAAAAGTAAGGGCTTTTCTATTGTCTCACAGCGACCTTCTCCTCTCTGTTTCCTCCCTTTTCCTCTCCCTCTCTTTCTCCCTCTCCCTCTCTCTCTCTCTCTCTCCCTTTCTCTCTCTCTCTCTCTCTCCCCGTCATCACCACTTGGGGCCCTCTCCCTGGGACTGGAGGTCCCTCCTTAACACTCCTGCCGATATAGGCTGTTCAGCTCTTTATTAACCAATGAGAGGTGATGAAGAACAATTTTTACACAACATTGAGACAGAAGATGCTTCAATAATAATGACAATGCCAAAGTCCAGGCTGCAGCCATATGTCTGGGTGCAGAAATCGGCATCTGAGTACACAGTGCACAAAACCATCTCCCTACAGTATGCCGTGCAAGGCCAGCAGCTGCTCCACGCATATCATGGTTTACTACATGATTTCCTCTTTTTGACCTAATTTTGTGCTGTTTTATTTGTGGTGGCCCCGGGAGCAGTGGCTGAGCTCTTGCACCAGCTAGGTCCATTTAAGTGTGTCTTACAATGTCCAGACAGAGGCAAAATTGCCTGCTGAAAACATACCCTTGTCCTTAATTGACACAGTGTAGTCTTATGCTGGCGAGCACCTGTCTCCCTCTCTGATCCCCGTCCCCCTTCACCAAACAGAACTGGATCCACGGATCCACGACCTGGTAGAAACCCACAAAGTGGCTGCTTAGTAGACATTGTTAAAATGGTGAAATAAAGTAAACAGTGCAAAATAATGTGGAAACTCGTGATGGGAGAGTGCATAGCATGCTGAGCTAAGGGTCAGCCCTGGGTGGAGGAGGGGCATTCAGACAAGGGACAGCAGTGGGTTTGGAAGCACAGGCCAAGGCAAGATGCAGGGAGCAGAATGTTGCGCCTGCTGAGGATTGTCACTGAGACAGTGCGATGTGTCTGTGGCTTGCGGGAGTGAAGAGAGGGACCACATTCTAAGGCCCAGAGCCGTGTAGACTGGGCGGAGCTGGGGGCTGGGGAGCAGCAATCGATAGACAGACAGACACATCTTGATTGGTTTTGCTTCTGTCGTGAGCAGTGGCAGTGGCTCCTTGCTACTGTGTGGCGTGGATCAGGCAGCCTCGGTCAGAGCCATTTAAATTGATGAAGAACAGAATCTTCTTTTTGATTAACGCTTTTGTCTTAGGGCTGACGTGTGTGGCTAAACCGTAGAGCACTTGCCTCGTAGCTTGCATTACAGAAAGACATTATGTTATGAAACATAACATTATGTTTCAGTTCTGGAATAGCTTGGGTTGTAGCAGAAACTCTTGCAGATGCCTGCTCTCCAGTGTTTGCAAGCCCTGATCATCCTGTCTCCCTCAACACCTGGCAGCAGTTTGGACTGTCCTGCTCTGGCTCCTGGCCACCTGCCTGCTCTTCCTGATCACTCTCACTTCCATGACAGCTCCACCAATCCCACTAGACAGGCTAGCGTGGAGTTGGGAAAGGCCTGATTATGTCTCCTCCCACTCGACATTAATTGGCGCCTTTTTGTCACTCTCTGAGAGAAAAGGGGACTTCCCGAAGGCTTGACCCTGGCCACCTCTCACGGCAAACATCAACGCCTGGGTTACACACCCAGACCTGACTTAGGATATTGTCAGCTTAGGTTGGTTTGTTAGCCTCCTGTACGTGGAGGTCTACCTGCAGATAGGAGCATCAGCCGTGAGTTAGAGAAATCCCCAGGGATCAGAATAAGCAAGACCTGTGGGGAGATCCTCAGGCACTCCCCCAGACACCTGAAGCTTCATGTTGGACTGGGAAGCAGCTCTGGTGGGCTGAGAAAGGCGGCAAGTATATGCGAACCACCACATTCGGTGGGCAAGTGCAGGCCCGGCAGGCACCCAGGAGAGTGGGAACTGAGCTAGCGCTTGTTTGAGGGAGGGCCACAAGGACATCAGGAGCTGCCGGCCCGGACAAGCCGCTGTGGTGTGGGCCGCACCTCGCACCCAGCATGGCTGGGTAGGCAGCCACGGGCACAGCCCTTCCTCTAGCTTCAAAGGTCAGGGTTTTCAAGATTGGTGGCATGCCGTGGCTCCCATTCCGGACCTGGTGTTACAGTTTGAGTGAGAAATTCTCCCCACACCGCACAAGCTTCTGTGCTTGAGTATTTGGTCTCTGTCACACTGTTTGGAGAGATGGCAGAAGCTTTAGGACCAAAACCTTTCCATCCACCTGTGTGGCAGAGGAAAGCCACTGAGGATGACTCTTTGAAGGCTGTCCTCACCTCTGGGTCCTCTCCAGCTCCCTTCTTCCAGGTCTAACTGCAGCGTGACTATACCACCTTCCCAGACCACAGACAATGTCATTCCTGCCCCACACCTTCCCCTCAAGAATGCGGCAAAATCCCTCTACAACTGTGAGTCAAAGTTCATCCCTTCTCCCTCAGATTTCCTATGAGCTTCGCCACAGCGACGAGTGAAGTAACTGTCACAGATACCCTGGCTGTCCCCCCACAGGAAAACAGGGTGAGAGGCTCTGGTACCCAGAACTCAGCAGGCATCCTTGTCAGAGGGAAAAAGAGACGGTGGGAAGTGTTGGTGAGAATGTGGACAGACGGGAGCCCCTTGCACTGTCACGGGGAGTGCAAATCCTTGGGGAAACAGTGTGGCTCTTCCTCTGAGGACAGAATACATAGTTATCATGTGACCCACCCATCCCACTACAGAGTATGCACACAAGAGAAATGAGAACACGTGTCTACAGACAGCCTGTACAGGAGAGCTCACGGCACTGTTATTCCTGAAGCCCAAAGTGGGAGCCACCCAAACGCCCACCTATCAACGGGTGGACAAACTGTGTGCCACACCCCCGCAATGGGGACACATAGCCGCAAAAGGGAACGAAGGGTAGACACAGGCCCCAGCGCAAATGAACCTTGTAATACAGGTGAAAGGAGCCGGGTGCACGAATCAGCATGCCTCATGGTTCCCTTACAGGAAATGCTCAGGAAAAGCAAATTCACAGAGACAGAGAAGAGAAGAGTGGTTTGGTGCACGAATCAGCATGCCTCGTGGTTTCCTTACGGGAAATGCTCAGGAAAAGCAAATTCACAGAGACAGAGAAGGGAGGAGTGGTTGACGGACCCTGGAGGAACGAGAGGCCCACAAAAGGGGCAGCTGCCAGTGGGCATGTAGTATATCCTGGGGCAACACCAGCACTCGGGAGGCAGAAGCAGGAGGATCACCGCAAGTTCAAGGCTGGCTCTGTCTTCATAGAAAACTCCAGGGCAGCCGGTGCTGTAGAGAAATAGCATCTGTCTCAGTTAGGGACGCTCTTGCTGTGATGAAACACCATGATCAAATCATTTCACTCACAGTTCCATGAAGCAGTTCATATCAGAGGCAGTGAGGGCAGGAACTCCAACAGGGCAGGAACCAGAAGGCAGGAGCTGAGGCAGAGGCCATGGAGGGGTGCTGCTAACAAGCTTGCTCCTCATGGCTTACTTAGCCTGCTCTCTTATAGAATCTGGTACCATCCGCCCAGGAATAGCACTGCCCACAATGGGCTGGGCCCTATAGCCCTATAGGCATGCCTGAAGCCTGATCTCATGGAGGCGTTTTCTTAGTTGAGGCCCCCTCTTTTAAAACGGCTCTAGCTTGTGTCAGGTTGACAGAAAACTATCCAACACAGAGTCCCTTTCTCAAAACGTGAGAGGGGGATGGGTATATTGTGATATTATTTTAAAAACTGAAAAAAATAATTACATATTATAAGCAAGGGAACTGTGTGGTATGTGTCTTAGTGTTCTATTGCTGTGAGGTGACACCATGACCACGGCTACTCTT